GTTAGTTATTCATTGAAAAAATCAGACACAGAAAATACAATGAAATTTTTTTTTATTTGAAATTACTCCTTATTTTTGAGGTTCCAATGTTTTACTTAATAAGCATGGAAAATGAAGTTTGGCAACTCTCCTGGGAGGTAACATAAGGTTCCGGAGCTAGCATAAGGTTACAAGTTTTATGTTCATTTCCATAGTATGTGTACAGTAGAAATTTTCTGTCAGTATTAAAGTTGAAAGTCTTACTGCTACATAGGTAACCGACAAATTACTATATTTCATGTGGTGCAGACCTAAATCTTTAGCTTAATAGACTTTTTTCATAATTTAGTACTACATGTATATGCATGATATTAATAGTGTATAATGCTATTTCAGTGCCCAAATTGACTAAAATATCGCATATAAATTATTTTACAAACAATCAGTTTACATAAATGATAAGATTCTGCAGACTGTAGAAGCTAGTCATATTAGAGTTATCTCTCTTGGTACATGTACTTAACTGCTATGATGAATCTGAAGTGTTTATCATTTCACAGCAATCAAGACTTGATTATTCTTCATCAGCTGACAGTGCATCCATTGATGAGTAATAGCTTGTGCAGATTTTTCCCAGACACTAATGAGATTGAAGGAATAGGCTATTTATAGATGCAGCCTCCAACTGCCTGACATTCTGTTGGGGTTACATCATCAGAAAATTAAATTTACTTATCTCTGTACTCAGGGAATGTGTTAGAACTCAATTTCAAAGAGTGTAGGTCTGTTAGAGGCTATGAGACAGGGTTTGATTTACTTGTACATTACAAAATATGGTAATGAAACCATTCAGATGCATTTAACAGGGATATATTTAGAAAAACATGATTATATGTGGTGTTATCTTATGGTCTATGCTATTTTCTATCATAGTGTGATAGACTTTCCTTACTTAGAAGTAATTATGTATGGTCAGTCATTTTAAATTTACTAAGCTAGTGCATGAATGCAACTTGTATCAGCTAAGAAGAAAAAGGGGGTTGTATTATTTTGCACACATTCTTTTTTTGATACCAAAAAATGGGGGTATATAGGTGATGGGGTGTCTGTCCATACGTCTGTCCATCCATTATGCTTGGGGGTACCCGTCTCTTATCTACAACTTCTCCTATACCAATGAATAAAATTTAATGAGACTTTCACAGAATCTTTATTACAGAGTGCCATTGCACACCTTTTCACATTCTGATGAGCTTCATATAGCAAAACATGGACACTTCCATTCTTTCTGTTACTGGGGATATATATCCATCTGTTATCTGCAACTCCTCCTATATCACTGAATAAAATTTCAGGAGATTTTTCTCAGAATCTTTATTTACATGGTGTCATTGTGCATCTCCTATTTAAAGTTTTGATTGGACACATATTTGGGGCTTCCCATAGCAAAACATGATGGTCTTTGCCATTAAACTCATATGGGACCCAGGGAGTGGGGAGGGGTATCATTTTGTGGGCTCATTGCTCACAGTACCTCTAGTTTAATAAGCAGTTGTGTGGAAATTAATGACCTATGCAAGAATGCATTATATGCATGCAAGTTTTTTGAAAAAGGATCTGCATTGTACTTTTTTCCAGTCATGGATAAAGAGATAATTAAGATGGTTGAAAACTATAGATGCCAAATTTTAGAATTTAACTGTTATATACTGCTGTTTAATAGATCTGACATACCACTTTGTGAGGGAAGCATTTCTTTTTAATAAAACTTCAAGTCAGCATTAAGGTTGTGATGTTAGTGAACAATATGACTAAATCAAACACAAGATTACGGACATGTTTTTCTCGGCTAGGAACCAGGTATGCTAGGTCAGCCTCCCCCCAAGTGCTTGTAAAGAGAGGTATTAAAATTGTAAATAGTTCCACTATATAGGGGGGAGTAAGCTCTCTGTGCATTGATATTTACCAGATCTGTAATCATTGATAACTTTGACAAGATCCCTGTGAAATTCTTGGCAGAGTATATCTGTGTTTTCGGAGTAGATGATTCACTAGGAGGCCTGCTGCAGAAAGGAGAGCCATGATAGAAATAGGTAGGACACTTTGGAGTTTTAATTGATAACTAATTTACTTTCTCAATTAGAAAAACCTGTTTTTAGCTTCTTTTTCTCTGATTTCCTGCATGGTAAATTGATTGATGATTGTTTTTTCTGAATGGAGAAGCACTGGGGGGATGATTGGAGAGGGAATTCTTGACCTTGATTGACTTTCTAGATATTGTATCTACAATTATGTAACCTGTTTATGGCTGGGGAATGGAAGAATTCCTGCCTCTGATGTGAATGGTAACATATCACAGATACAGTTACTGTACATTATGACACTCGGTGTATTACAAGTGGTCGGGATAGTATGTATAGTGGTATATCTTGTATCAACAAATAGTACTTGACTGCAGTATTAACGGGGGATAAGTGAGGGGACTCTGTGGTTCTTACTTTTCTCAGTACTTCTACTAACTCTCTTATAACTCCGCATTCGGGTGCAAAGTAGACCAGGAAATATGCTGAAATTTGTGAAAGTTTCTCCAAGGTTGCCCAGGAAGAAAGTTAAGTAATTACATAATGTTTTCTGTCTTGATCATGTTGATATGGAAGTTTTAACTTCCTGTAATTATGGTGTTGTACTGTATCTGTAAAAGATGTTATTTTGCTGTGCCTTCACATGTTTTAAACATTGTAAACAATGTTACATAGAGTATGTAAAGTAAGAACATTTCAGAAGATACTGAAATTTTGGGAGGAAAACTTTCTCATGTTTATTATGTTTTCTAATTTTGATAATAAGGGATAGTCACTCTGATAGAGGTGTTTAACCTTTCAACATAACTTTATTGTTACATGTAGCTCTGATCAGCATTCATGGAATATTTCAGTATAATGGCTGTTCTCTCCGTGAAGTGGTTGTATGACGGGGGCTGACATGTGTTTTCTCTCTGACAATAAGAGCAAGCTGACTGATAAATCCCCAGATTCCCTCCAGATAAGTAAGATAATGGGGCACAAAGATATAATGGCTCCCATCCTCAGAACCTGTTCTCTGTCAATTTCCTACTTCACAGAGCACAAAATTTGCATTTTTATATTCCATTTTTACACACTGATTCAGCTGAGGCTTAAAGCTTGTTGTGAGAAACACATGCAGCTCTAGGGTAAAATCCAGAAAGGCTGTGCCATTCTGCTGGTGCATTTTACTGCAAATGTTTTACGAGTCATCCTGTTATAGATTAAGTTGGAATAATTAATAATGTAGTTTTGCTTTAACACTGCAGTGAGAGAAATAAAGAGTAATGGTACAATGATTCAGTGTTCCTATAAATGTATTTTTGAATCTATGTTTGACATCAATATGTGTTACTATGAGAGATTTCGTATAGGAACGGAGATCAAAGAATTGATGTCATTAGGTAGTGTTGTACAAGACTGATTGATTATGGTAGTAATGTACACCTGGATCAGGAGATGTGGTTATGGTCACATTACGACCACAGTACGACATCCCACATAGGTTATCAGCTGGGCCACATTGTTCGTCATCTCCCTGCATGAGATGTATTTAGGATTCCTATTTTGTATCAAGTACCACTTAAGGCTTGTTATTCACTGTTGACGCATTCCGTAAATCTGTATATTTTACATGTGCAGAACATGTAGCTATCCTAAGTGTAACGTTAGATGAACACCGGAAAGCCCTTTGTAAGTTAAGGTGGTAGCTGGAATCCTGTAAGCATTGAGGGCTTCTTTTTATCAGGAAGTTTGACTTGTCTTACAAATTATATTTGTGAAAACATGGACTGTAAAAGAATTTTTTGAAAACCTTTTTATATACTTGTATGTTCATTTATACATGTATACTATAGATGTACATGTTTACAGTACACATGTATCTTTGTTATACAATTAATCAAAGTTCAATTTGACAGAGAGAGAGAGAGAAATTATGTATAGGTTAATGTCCAGGTACCTTTCTATTCCTTAAAAGAAATGGAGCAGAGGCCCCCTTTTGGGGCCTAGGGCCATTGCTTTTAAGGAATGGAGAGGTACAAAGATATTTACCTTCTTAAAATGAACTGTTCAAAATGTTCATAATTATTTATTTGTTAGTATAAATACAGATGTGATTTTTATTAGAAAAAATTAGTAGCATTTGAATAGAATTATAAAGAAATTGTGAAGTAATTTAAGAGCCATTTGACATCATTATTATAGTATCTAGTAAGTACTCCAGACAGGGATAGACATTAACTTTCAGATTCACTTGCCCAATCTCAAACATTGACTTGCCCAAAATCAAAACTTGATTGCCCAAAATTAAAAAAAAAGATTTATAAACTAATGTAAGCTAAAAAGAAAAAATATACATTTTTATCATAGAAATTCCCTTGCCCAATCGAACAAGTACATTGACAATTTCACTTGCCAGATCTGAGAATTTACTCGACCCGGACAATTGGACAACTGTTAATGTTGATCTCTGTTACTGTAACTCACCTACAAACAGGAGGTACAGGGTTTGATGCCTATTATTGCCACACTTTTATGATATCAAAGTTCTAACAAGATTAGCACCAATGGAGGTACCGTAGGGAGAACTTGTACATGATATAAACACTGTATTCTGCATGTGATATGCAACTCTCCATTCCCGAAAAAATATTAAGAGTGCTCAAAACAAAAAAAAATGACATCACAGTTGAATTTTAGTATTACATAGTGTACAAAATTTGTTTTGGAGATGTAATTTCTATTTAGACTCAGTATGGTATTGTAACTACATTTACCATCTCAGCTTGAACTTGGTGTTTTACAGGTGCAGTTATGAGTAACAAAACATTATTAAACATAGGGTAATTCTTTCAACGCAGCATATCTATTTTAGAATTTAGTCTGCAAGGCACAGCACAGGAGATTGACTATTTTAGTCTGAGAGATGCAGTAACTTTTTCTTTTGCAATGTTACAGATGCATTATTGGCTGACCTTCAGAACACCACCACACAAGTACGACAATACCAGCACGCGGACGGATCCAATCGCGCCGGGGATGTAGGTCAGCCAAGGGAGCCGGTACAGAACCATGCTCAGTACAGAAGCACTAACAATGATTATGATGAGAGGTACACACGGAGGTCTAGTGGCAGTGAGACACCACCACCCCTACCACCTCCGCCACCCCAAGAACTTCTGGAGAGCATTCCACCACCCAAACAGTTTGATCAGGTGAGATCCAGCAAGCCTAAGTCAAAGCAAAGGAAGTTGATGAATTTTGTTCTTATTAATATTAACATGGCCCAGAAAAGTTATATGAATTTGCATGAATGATCTACCATTTAAACTCGTGGACTGATTGGTTGTACATGTTGTTCATTTTTTTGTACATTTCATTTTCTATCTCAAGGTATATTCTTTGCATGAAGACAAAAAAAAAAAACAAGAGCAAAATAGAGCTGCATGTAAAAGAATCTTTTTTTCTTTTTGTTAAGTTAAAGCCTTTTTTATCAATAATGTTTCCTTTTCACGATAATACCTCCAATGCAAATTGAGCATGAGAAAATTTATTTTTTCTTTATCTAAACTTCTTTGAAACATAAATCCTGCAAATAACAATTCCATTTTGGCATATTTTGATTCCATTAACTGGAAAATTATGGGTAATGACTCCAGCAAAAATTTTACTTATTATTTTCTTTTGTAAACAGCGCAGACTGTCTGTATTTCAAGTATATCGAGAGGTAATTTAGAATATGAGCATATTTTCTGTAATGTATGAGATTTATTGCCTACTATTATATAACCATGGAAGTACAATAATTGTGTGGATGATTTACATAATATTATTTGTATATCCATAAAAAGACTGTATATATTTACCTTTATTGTTAGTCAAGGAGTAATACATATACCAAGTAATCATAGGCACACTTTAAAGGTGTCGTATGATGTTAAAAGTTTATGAAAGGAAAATAATGTACGTGTTACGTAACTTACACAGTACACGGAATGTGTATATAGACAGCTGTATTGATGAATAGTTATATCGGAGCTTTGTATGACTTTTAAGGAAGTTGAAGCTATTGTATCCTCCACTGTGTTAACAACTTTGGTACTATGGTTTACAAGTAGCCATTTTCTGGGAGTATTTCGTTAGATGTGCAATCGGAATACTTAAGTCCACACAGCAGAATTCTGTATTTTGTCTTTACAACAGGCATTCTGGTTGTGAAAATATATCCCTTTTTGAGAAAGACATTACATGTTAAAATTGCAAGCATGAAAAATCTTCTGAAGCATTTGATTGCTGTTTCTACAATTTTCTTGGTATTAGGAGATTCTGCATTTCTTATTTTCAGCCTATGTATTATGAGACCGGGGTGACACAGGTGAACGCCGATCAGCCTCGGACATCACAACTGAGCAACAATCTGTCCGAGCTTGACCAGCTCCTTAAGGATCTCAACTCGGCTCAATTCATGGCAGAAGTGGACAAACGCAATTCAGGTAAATTATCTTCATTCTGGCATATTTAAGTCTGTAGTGATTGTGATGTGAACTCTTTATGTGGTGATAGAACGTCTGTTAGATGCATTCAATACAGATGTACTGGTACTTTAATTAAATAAATAAACTGAATGGTAAAGTTGTCTTGATGAAACATATTACATTAAAAAAGGGTTATTTTCTGAACAGACTTTCAAGAAATTTTCTGTTTGCAGTTTGAATATTTTGTTTGCCCCCCCCCCCCCCAACCAGAAAAATTTGTAGGGGATATGTAAATATTAGTGATAAAGATGCTTAGTAATAGTACTATACCTCTGTGTAAACTGCTTTGTAAATGTTTTGCCAATAAGTTTATTTGAAAATAATACCACCATACATAAAATTCCAATTGTAAATATTTTACCTATATTTAGACAGTGAAATAAACTGTTTTCATTTCATTTAAAAACATTGCAGAGGATATGGTTTTTCCAAGGGGTAAAAAAGGTTCCCTTGTCAGAAAAACTGAAACTGAATTAAGTGTAATTTAATTAACTGATGTGTATTGAAGCTTAAACAAGACAGGAATTTAATTAGCTAAGAGACACAAAGTCGTTTAATATAGACTTTTGGAATGCTAGGCTTAATTAGCTCTTTATTCTTTTTTCTGATAACATCCTTCTATCTACCTTAACAGTCATGTCATAATTACTTCTTATTTCAGTTCCCTCTCCTCTCTATGAAAATGTACTTAAAATAAACAGTAATGGGGTATTTTAATAATTTAAATACTTGGCATTCCTGACACACACAATTAAAAGGGTCTCCGTCAATGAGCTTTAGAATAACTTCCAAAGATAAAGAGAACCTCCCCCTCAAAAAAAAAAGAGGTTGTCACACAGTTAAAAGATTTACAGGCGCTGCCACCCTGTAAGGGATTTGATTCACCACTGAGGTAGATTATTCCTGAGAGAGGAAAAAGTAATGTACAAAGTGGTGTCACTTCACAGTTGGTTATTGATAGGAGAGTAATTCACTGGCACAAACATTCACTTGACTTGGATGATTAATTGGCGTGTAAATCCATCACAGCTCTGACGGAGGCTACATGCTTGTGACTGTGCAATTCATAAATACTGGGTCATGTTAAAATGGAAATATAGTGGTAGGAAATTATTTTTTACAGTTCAAAGGAATTCTTTAGTGATCTGTAATGGCTCTGAAGTGAGTTTCAATCTGATTTAAGGATATAATTTTGTTGCTAGGATTTATACCCTTACACTTTGGTAGTGAGAGAGATTTTTTAGAATCTCTGACAGTATTTTTTTTTTATTTTGTTTGTTCTTTTCTAATGTGAATAAAACATAGCTCTGTATTCATATTCTCTTTGATTATACATGTAAGCGGACAATTTTGGCAAAGTTTATTGGGCTCATTCTTGCTGAAAGTAAAGCTAAGCAATCAATCTCTTGTTTAGAATGTTATCAAGATTTTTAATCTTTTTTTATAAAACTACCCTGGGTCATTCTTGTTGTGGTATGTTTGTAAAACCAGTGTTGATAACTCATTGCTGAGTCATTTTCTTGCCAACATGTGTGAATTTTTTTGTTTAATGAAAAACATACTTTTAATAGATAAGTTAACTTTTTTGTGAGCCATAATAACACATAAGATCTGATGTAATCCATGGATTTTTTTTGGTTGTCTTTTCAGGAAATCAGCCTATTACAAATGGAGGAGGTAAACAACCCCCTCCAGTGGCCCCAAAGCCCTCCCGAGAGGACAGAACATCTGTAGGAGGCCTCCTGGATATGTTAGAAGGTTCAGTGCCTGACACACCCAATAATAACTATAGAAGGTAGGGATTTAACATGATACCCAATATTAACTGTTAAATGAAGGTACCCAGTAATAACTACAGGAGGTAGGGATTTAACATGATATCCATGTTAACTATAAAATGTAGGTACCCTGGAATAACTTCAGAAGGTAGGAAATCAACATGACATCCAGTAATAACTAGAGAATGTAGGTACCCAGTAATAACTTCAGAAGGTAGGAAATCAGCATGACATCCAGTAATAACTAGAGAATGTAGGTACCCAGTAATAACTTCAGAAGGTAGGAAATCAACATGACACCCAGTAATAACTAGAGAATGTAGGTACCCAGTAATAACTTCAGAAGGTAGGAAATCAGCATGACATCCAGTGATAACTATAGAATGTAGGTACCCAATAATAACTGTAGAAGGTAGGGATTTCACATGATACCCAATAATAACTATAAAATGCAGGTACCCAGTAATAACTTCAGAAGGCAGGAAATCAACATGACACCCAATAATAACTATAGAATGTAGGTACCCAATAATAACTATAGAATGTAGGTACCCAATAATAACTATAGAATGTAGGTACCCAGTAATAACTATAGAATGTAGGTACCCCATAATAACTATAGAATGTAGGTACCCCATAATAATTACAGGAGGAAGGAAATCAAAACAACACCCAGTAATAACTATAAAATGTAGGTACCCAGTAATAAGTACAGGAGGTAGGAAATCAACACGGCACCCAGTAATAACTATAGAATGTAGGTACGAAGTAATAACTACAACTTCTTACTGGTACATGTAGTACATTCATTTATAACTTAATAGTACATTGCACCTCTAGAAGAGTACATTTGTATGCCTGATGCTATATAGCTACTAACAGTCTTATGAAATGTCTACAGGAACTATATGTTGTTTACAATGTCTATCTCATTGGTTGGTATATATATGTGGATCCTCATCCAGTGCAGCAAAAACTAAATGTGAAATAATATTTTAATAAGATCGTGTTCTTCTGAACTACTTTTCTCTTCCTTATGCTTGGATAAATTTATCACATATATTTAGTATTACTCACATCAGTGTGAAAAAGAATCTCACAAGATAAATAAGAAATTCAATTCTTACTCAATAAATTTTTAAAGCATTACTTGTCTGTTATATTTGGCATATACATTATCTTTAAATCATTATTTAAATGCTCAGTTATTGATCAAAAGGCATGTCTCTCAGGGTAAAATATTTGGTTACAAATCAATTCACACTTTAGTATGTTCAGTACTTTATGTACATGTGTATTTAAAACTACACAGTACAAATTTTTGGAGTACCAAAGTCATAGTAATTTGTTATGATATTTCCAAAATTATTTTTTCAACCTTTTTTTTTGTTTTCGTATAAAACAAGTTTTCAGAAGAAATAGTATGATTGGTGTGTTTATTATTGTCCCATTAATACTTCACAAGCAAGTCAGCTTCAGAAAAATGCAGAAAAAAGACCTGCATATCCTCTGATAAAAGTGAAGTACTTCACATTACTGTTTTAAGGGTCTTATTATTTTCTGTCCAAACAAATTTCTGACATTTTTAAAAACTGTTTCAACCACATATACAGTACTTGCAGTCATGATTCATTTTTTGCACATTTTAGCACTAAGATTTCCTTCAAACCTCATTTTAAATTGTAAGCATTTTGTCACTACTTTTATATTGTATGCATTGTTTTGTAGTCCCCCCACCAATGATAACTATGAATACACCTCCGATGTACCACCTGCCCAGCCCCAACAGACCACGATTCAGATCCAGCCTAAACCACAAGCCACTTCTACAGCAACCCGAGAGCTGGACGAACTCATGGCAACATTGTCTGGGTTCAAGGTCAGTCAGCTTGATTTGTTGAAACGTTGTTTCTATTCAAGTCCTGAAAACTTTTCAAATATGGAGTAATGTGTGTATTAAATAACTTGACATGCAACACAATATGTTATAAATTAATTTTATGGCGCAGAACAGTATATTCAGCATGTACTTGAAAATGGAGGTTTAAGTATTTAGAAAAAAAGACTAGAATTAGAATTTGTATGAAAGTGTTTGTATTACTGTAGATCACTAAATTTTTGTGACACCTTGTTTTCGCAAGATACACATTTACCCTTTATTAGCTAGACAAAATTTTCATGAATTGTGGTTACTGCTCTATATAATCTTTAGCAATACTAATATACGCGAGAATAATATTTTTACAAGCACACTGTCTCGCGTAATTACACGAAAATAAAGTTCTCACGAATAAAACATGATTTACAGTATTAAAAATCATGTGTCAAGCAGTAAAATCTACATGCTATCAACACATTCTCTGGTTTTAAAAAGTAATTTTCATTTCGAGTGAGGGACAAAGTTTAGTGACTTGTTAGACTGTATAACCAATTACAATGAAAATCTTGGTTTTCCTTCCAAATTTGTTAAGACATTGAAGTTATAAACTTTGATTTTGATTTGATTACTGTTACATAGGTCAGTGGAGGTAGCTCGCATGAGAGAACTCAGAGGTCAGTCTCCCCTTCTAGTGAACCACCCTATGCTAAACCCCAAAAGAGAAACCCCTCTCAGAGCAGTGCTCCATCCACCCCTGTTGCACCCCAGAGAGAAGAGCTAGATTCCATGTTGGGAAATCTTCATGAAGACATGAAGAGCCAAGGAGTGACTACTAAAACTAAGGGTGTCTGTGGGGCATGTAACCAGCCTGTGATTGGTCAGGTAAGATAGACCATGTAAAGTTGGGGTACTGTGGAATCATCATTGTTTGTGGGGGATCAATGTTCGTGGGTCACCCTTATCCACGAATTTACATCCCCACAAACATTTTTTGTCAACGTACTGATTAATTAAATCTACCAAATAAACGAGCTGCCCACGAAATTACATCCCCACGAACCAATAAAATTTTGCTTGCATACGAACATTGACCCCCACGAATTTAAATGATTCCACAGTATTGGGCATGTAATCAGCCTTTGATTGGATAGGTAAGAGAATGGACATTTAATTAAAGCTGCATGTAGTCATCTTGTAATTGGACAGGTGAGATAGTGGCCATTAAAGTAAAGGTGGGTATGGGGCATGTAATCGGTCTGTGATTGGACAGGTAAGAAAGTGGCCATTTAAAGTAAGGATGGGTTGTATGGGGAATGCAACAAGCTTGTGATTGATCTGGTAAGAGAATGGCCATTTAAAGAAAAGATGGTGTGTTGGGCATGTAATCAGCTTTTGATTGGTAATGTAAGAGAGTAGCCATTAAAGTAAAGTTGGGCTGTGTGGGGTATGTAATCAGTATGTGGATGGACAGGTAAGAGAGTGACCAGTTAAGTAAAGGTTGGTGTGTTGGGCATGTTACCAGACCACGAAGTGTAAGGAGGTTGTGGGTAGTGTAACCAGTCTGTGATTGAAAAGGTAAGAGAGAGACCATTACAGCAGTGTCTGGGGCAAGTAATAATCAGCCAGTGATTAGATTATAGGAGTGGTCATGATGGGTAAGGCCATATGTGTGTGTGTGTGGATGGTGATTTGTTAGATTTTTAACCAGTCGATGATTGGACAGGTGAAAGGATTACCCTTAAAAAAAGTAAGGATGGGGGGGGGGGGAGAGAGAAGCAGGGGGGTCTAACCTGATAGTTTAAAGTAAAAAAAAAGTTTTGGAAGTGTATCCATCCAGTGATGGGACAGGTAAGGGAGTGACTGTTAAAATGAGGTGCTGGATCTGTAACTGGTCACAGATGGTCTGGCACATGTAAGAGGTGAGGAGGGTTTGTTGGGTGTGTAAGCAGCCTATGATTGTATTGGTAAGTGAATGGTCATAATTACCATCATTAAAACTAGAGGGGGGATGATGAAAATGCTTCCTATTTTTTATTTCTATAAATTATGATATTTTAATGGAGTTAAAGTTTGCAATTTCTATGTAATAAAGCTTTCACCCGGGGTTTATTTTTGTGGAAATTAAAGAGTTATTATTTCTGCTGCTTTTAATGTTTTATTGTAAGTATCATTTTTGGAACTGTCCGTATGGTGATGAATTTTGTGAAACTCTAATCATTGCAAAATTGTTCCCCACACAAACATTTCCATGATTACAGTAAATGGACACTTTTACTACAGTAATTTTATTCTGATGGATGAATCTGAGGGATTAAGATATATAGGCCTAAAGCTTATTTTATATAGGTTTTATTTAGGTTAAATATATTTGAGTTATCTCCCTTTTAGATCTATAGTATGTGTATGTATATTTTACAGGTGATAACAGCTTTAGGAAAGGTATGGCATATAGAACACTTCACCTGTGCTAACTGTAATCTACCCCTGGGCACTAAGAACTTTTATGAGAGGGACGGAGCAGCATATTGTGAAGAGGACTACCATAAAATATTTGCCCCAAAGTGTGCCTACTGCAATGGGTCTATTGTAGATGTAAGACAACATATTTGTACATTCTGGCTGTTTCTTATCATTCCCAAGTTTTGTTTCAATTTGTAATCAAGATATTGGTCTCCAAGATGAACAAACCTTTTCAACATTGTAACTTTTTACACCTTTGGTCATTTTGGCAGTACTTTAACAAGATCAGTTGAACAATTTAGTTTAAATGAAATTTCTTCCCTCAGAAATGTGTAACAGCCTTAGATATGACGTGGCATCCAGAGCATTTTTTCTGTGCACAGTGTGGGAACCCTTTTGGTGATGATGGATTCCATGAAAAGAATGGAAAGGCATACTGCCGGTAAATGGTTTAATAGACAGTGAATACTGACTACATTATTAAGTCTTAATGTCAGATGTTAATTAAATGATATATTAAAACTTGGTGCATGCTGTGCAGAACTCTATTTTTATTACGTCACCGGAGTCATTCGGGTGACATATTGTCCATCTTCATGCCTTGTTCATTAACATTGGAACATTTTCAGCTTCTTTTCTGGAACCTCTGAACCAATTTCAACCATTTTTAGATCAACGTAGTCACTCAGGTGACCAATTACTATCTGTTTTCATCTGTCGTCATCCATCGTGCATTAACATTTGAACATTTTCAGTTTCTTCTTTGGAATCGCTGAATCAATTTCAACCAATTATAGCATAGAACATCTATGAGTGAAGGGGAACAAAAATTGTGAATTACATCGTCCCCGCCCCCCTGGGGCCTGAGGAGTGGAGCTAAATCTATTAAAATTGATGCAGTCTTTAAAAAACTTTTTCTTTAACCCTGAACATAAAGCAGTCAAACTGTTGGCATGATTGTAATAAATATTAAACCTTATACCAAAATTGTGAAATTCATGGCCCCCTGGCTCAGGGATTCTGGTGCTAGGGTGGGGTTCAATAGATCCTATAGTGAAAGTGCATTATTTCTTTGAACATATCCTTCTCTGCTCCTGGGTATTAAGCAAACAAACTTAGTGCATAGTTATGAGATGGAAGGGTGCCTCTTCCAAAATTGTAAAATTTCATGGCCCCTGGGTCAGGGGTTCTGGTGTTAGGGCAGGGCTATATTGATTATATAGTGAAAATAGCATTAATTCTTTGAAAATCTCCTTCTCTGCTCCTGAATATTAAGCAGATAAAGTTTGTGCATTATGAAGAACAAGAATGCTTCTTCCAAAATCGTGAAATTTGTGGCTCCAGGCTCTGGGGTCAGTTTGGGGCTCTATTGATTATATAGTGAAAATGCATTATTTCTTTGAAAGTCTTCTCTGCTCCTGGGCATCTAGGAGGCAACAGAGTACAAAGTTGTAATAAGCAAGGGTATATTTACCAAATTTATGAAATTCTTGACCACTAGGTCAAGTGTTCTGGAGCTGGGCAAGGCTCTTTTAGTACGTATTCCACTGAAAGTAGAAAAGTTATTCCCCTTTGCTACTCACTACATGTATTATAATTAATCAATTATTCAAGGTTAATAACAGTGGCAGATCCAAGATTCTTTTAAAGGGGGGGGGGGGGGGAGGGAGGGACACACCAGTTGGGGTCGGGGTGGGAGCCAAAGTCCCCTGAAACTCTCAAGTTTAAGGAGTTTTTGGAACAAGTTTTTGATTTATTTTAGCTATATTTTAGGTATAATAAATGCAATATCCAATGATTTATTAATATTATTTATATTTTTGGTCACAAAAGAGCCCTCCAACCCCCTCCCCATCCCCCTCTAAATCTTCCAATGAATAATATATTTGAAAGGTCAATTGAATGAGAAAATCATACAAGAATTTTATTGTTCAATAAAAAAAAGTACTTTCATGGTTTTAATGGTCAGATGGACTTATAAATAATAATAAATAAAAACCACACAAGAATAACTTGTCTTATTACATGTTCTTCATAGACCAAGAAAGGCCAATGTAAGAGGGAATGAGATGGAATTAGAAATAATGCTTGTTTAGACTGCATGGTAATAGTGACAAATGGGGGGGGGGTGTTGTAGATCTACTCTAGATTTGTTACAGAGTACTACTGTAAATCACTTTTTATGCAAGACAGTGTGTTCGCAAAAATATCATTCTCATGTACATTAGTATTTCTAAAGAAAAATTTTGTCTCGCCAATAAAGAGAAAATTTCTATCTCACAAAAACAAGGTGTCACGAAAATTTAGTGATCTACAGTAATTATTTTGTTGATCCCTGATCATCTTATTTCTATTTCTTGAGGGCAACATAGCTTCAACTATCAGTTTATTTTATGTAATACTTCTTTGGATCCTCTAAATTGTTTTACAAGGGGCATTTGAAAAGTTCTGAGAACTGCTTGCTAAAATAATAACAATTTTACAGAAGTTAATAAGTTTGATACCATTGAAAAGAGCTGGAAATTTGCACTTATATGAACGTAATTTTCTTATATTCATGATGTAATAACTCCAAAAATGATGTCAGAATCTCGAATGTGTAGCATACTGAAAAGTCGTGTTTTTTGTTCACATGAGAACATCGAAAAAGTGCTGTCAAAGGCTTCTTTGAAAAGATATTTCAAAGAAAATTTGCCTGGAAGTAGAGTAAGACTATAGGAATGGTACAGTAAATCAGCAATTCCATATTTTATTTTTTTTGCTTGGTTAATAAGCACAATAATGTTATCTTAGGCATTCATAAAAGATTTTTATTTATATGATATAGCTGGATTTTCGGTCTATTATATAGCTCTCCACTGTATTGAACAAAACATAATCTGTATAAAACTGAAGTGTAATAATGCAGTTTTCCACAAATGTATCTTGAGTATCAGGACTCTTACTGTTTACGAATATGGCGTACACAAGTCTTCCACAGGACAAGTTTTTGTGCGTATTTTTTCATATTATTTAAACTTCGGCAATCCAAAACTCACTACTGCTTTTGACTTTCGGCTCAAAAAAAAAATAAATCTGAGTTTCATTGCCATGTACAATCTTATTTATCTTCCATGATTTAAAATTTTCGAACATATCGAGTTCCAGTGTGGTTAGAACTACACCGGCGCCATTTTGGTTTTTACGAGAAAATATTTGAAATCCTTAGTTTAACCTCTCTTGAGCTTTAATCGTTCCCGCAAAATTGGTTAAAACACATGACGAATTAATGCCAGCAAATTTTATAACACCGTTCACTATTCTCCCGTGATTGTAAACTTTGTGTTTTTCTCACAGCAGCGTGTTTTTTACCCAATACTGTGCGCAATTTTTGATAATAATATTCTGTGTTTGACACACTCTTAAACCACCTCAGAACTATAGGAGCTCCTGAATTTAACCTCCATATGATAGACTGTAGTCTATGTAAACATTCTTCCAACTGGTAGTTGTGTTCCTTAGCGTGCATCCAAGTAATGAACAAAAGTTGACTTTAAAATTTTACTTCACTGAAATTGTTTCTCTTGTTCCGTCATTTTTATGGTCAGTGTGCTAGACATTCAAGATTCTGACGTCATTTTCGGAGTTATTACATAATAAAAATTACAAAGTGACGTCACAAAATGTGTATATTTTTGTGATTTGTCCAATGATATCAAACTCAGTAATTTCTGTTAAATGGTTAATATTTTATCAAACAGTTCTCAGAACTTTTCAAATGCCTTTCGTATTATACTCAGGTGACCGTTAAAGCCCTTGGGCTCTTGTATGAATACAGTAAACATGTTTATAATGAAGAGGCAGGGACGGACGATTTTGCTTCCTTATAAGAGTAATTTATTATATCCATCAAGTTTACAATATATTTTAAGTCACGGGGAATGAAAATCACTTAACTTTAAGCATGAATTTGTTATAAGCATGTTTGCTATAAGCGTCTTTTACAAATTTTTTGAATTTAATGTGATTTATTTTTCCTTTTAAGACAAGATTTCCTGGAGATGTTTGCCCCCCGCTGTGGTGGGTGTGGACATCCAATCCTTGACAACTACATTTCAGCCCTTTCTAGACATTGGCATCCTGAGTGCTTTGTCTGTAGGGTATGTAAAGCGAAAATGTCGCAAGTCTAAGCCTTCTTCACCTATTTTTTTCTCAGGAATGGAAACATCAATTAATTAAACTCAATATAAATATTAATTATCTGTGGTTATAAATTTAAAAGAGGAGAGGGGAGAGGTTGAGTTTGATTCAATAAATATGTTTATAATATATTTTCACTTTGTTTCTTAGGACTGTCACCAGCCATTTGGAGGTCGTAGTTTCTTTGACCATGAGGGTCTGCCATACTGTGAGACCCATTACCACGCCAAGAGGGGCTCCCTGTGTGCCACTTGTCAAAAACCAATCACAGGTCGCTGTATCACTGCTATGAGCAAAAAGTTTCATCCAGAACATTTCACATGTGCCTTCTGTCTAAAACAACTCAATAAAGGGACATTTAAAGAACAGAATGACAAGCCCTATTGTCACCCATGCTTTGTTAAACTGTTTGGCTAATGACCACACCCTTACAACTATAGTCAAGTTATGCAGGCTTTTTGTTATGATATATATACAATATTGTATTTTTATATGACATATCTATGATATATCTTTATTTGGATGACATTATTTTTACATTAATCACCTTTTTTTCACATCAGCAAACTTCTTGCTTGTTAGATACATATTTTAGTAGTTTATGTCGTAGTTTTGCCAGCAAAAATTAATTGTATTGCTTCAGTGTTAAGTTTCTGTTTTAATATTTACATAAATCAATGAAACACAACAAACTATGCTTCTACATGTAAAATCATGGTAACAGAGACCATACTAAACATGGTCTGGAGAGGATGCTCAATAAACATCAGATATTTTATTGTACTTGTTCCACAGTACAGATTCCAATATGTGACAATACTTGCTGCCATCTCAAAATACTGCAGTACCACAATGTGAATCAATGCCATTTTAGTGTATTATTTAACCTCTTGTTCTGTCAATTTCAAGTTGCTTTAATTTATCTGGTACCATTATTTAGACAGTTTTGTATAAAGCTTTGCCATTATGAATTGTTCAAACAAGTGATATTTAATCCTATCTTAAAGGGAAATGAATATAGGATATGTGTTAAGGTCAGACCTTAGATTTGGATAGTTGTACTGAAAAGATGCTGATATATGAAGTGATATGATGTTGATGATATTCATGTAGAATTTGTTTAAGATATATTTACATACACTTAAGGTAGCCATAATGAATAAAATTGTAACAGAACTGGATCATAGAAAAGTTTATAATGGCTTGTGATATAATGCAATTATTTGTTTATCTTGTCCAACATCTTAATAATAAATTTAAAATATTGCTGCTTTACTTTTTTTTATTTTATAAGTATTAATATACCCTTGATATTCTTTATAGAAAGTCCATAAAGTGTCTTTGTATTATTAATAAAAATAAGAATTCAATGAATATGTGACTGGTCCTGTGTGTCCCTTAGCACAATACCACAACTATAGAAGACTTCTGTGTATCATGGCTCCATTGTGTATCTTGACGTTTCCCAGTTTAACTGCAATGTTTAGCCACCTACCTCCAGATCATTTTTAAAAAAAAGTTATCATATTCTAATGATTTTTTTTTTCAAAATTTTTATAAATATTTATATGAACTTTCAAATTTGAAATAATTCAATAATAATAAATAATGATAATGAAAGAAATTAGTAGATAACTATATGTTTCTTATAACAGACTGAATATCATTCAATATAGAAGTTAATGGAAAACGGGAAAGTATTTTTAAAACATGTCCTTCCCCTCCTGGTGAAACAAAAATTCCTAATTTGAGAAAATAGAGAGACTTTTGTTGTTTCCGGGGGGGGGGGGGGGGGTATATGTTTACAAACCCAAATACAGTGAAAATTCAATTTAATCATATTAACTACAATTTTTTTTCTGTATGACCTTGTTATGATTAATTTTACATATTAAATTAAATTAAAAGATAAAGCGGTTATTTTTCCCTATCTATGAGTATTTCAAAATTCGATAAAAGTCCTATTTCTATATCCATTATTCCTCTTTAGAGGCGGAAGTTTTAAGAACAAGTGTATCATAATGGTATTAAAATTATTAATCAATTAATAATGAAGTCTACTATATATTCAAACAGCCGCCAAACACGTTAAATTATGTGTAAAATGTAAGCGGGAATCAAGAGTTTCAGTGCATTGTTCTCTGTACAATGAACATTACACCTGTTAGACATGTTATAAGTACATGTACTATTACACAATGAGTGATTGTGTATACTAGCTTCCTTCTGTTAAAAGTAGAAATGTCAAGTTTCATTGGTCTAAAGAGTACATTGTATTTAACCCAAGTTTAAGACGGAGCTTTTGAAAAGCTTGCAGGATAAAAAGAAACTGGAGATTCTATTAATATGTCGAATACCATTATTTAACAGGTGTTTGCAATTAATTGGTCACTAAGATCACATTATAGGAAATAAAGCTTCACCTCTGATGATTTTCTCCCTTGAAAAGGATTCTCAAATTGTTCATCAAACTTGTGCTATCTACAAAGAATAAGTTTAAGTTCACTCAGTTGTTTTTCCCCTAATTGGTCAACAAAGAGTTTCTGAGCCTTGGAGTCTTTAAATAAAATAAATTTACTAGTCGGAAATCATCAAGTCTTGAAAATAAATCAATTTATTTGACTGCCAGCTTCGTCACGAGTGTGTCATTATATACAACTGCACAACATCGGAAAATCACAAATTATTGATAGATTCAGTCTTGAGAAATGTATCTATAAACACTGATATCGCCATTCTTGCCACCAACCCACAAACAAGACTTATGAAGATCTACCGAGTATGGGGAATCGAACGCTTCCTGCTTTGTTACGAGATAACGAATGAATTCACCGCATGGGCTCAACATGTGAATGAAATTGTGGAGGCAGTCTGTCACAATTATGTTACACTGAGCGTCGCACACTAAACCCCTTGGATCGAAACGTTTTCTCACGTAGTTTCCACGGTAATCAAATTTAAGCGCACCATCTGATGAGAGAACTCGAAGGACGCCGCTTGATTGGCCGGTCTGGTCTATGACGCAAATATCGCTGTTATAGTTGTGGAAAACCCGATGAGGTTTGGTGAAAAGTTTCGTGGTTCCATCTTTGTCAAATTCATATGTCGTCAATTCTTCTCCATCAGTTGAGATTAATTTGATCAAACGTTTACTATTTGTGCTTAGTTTAAAACTGTAATCGTCTACTAACGCAACAAACAGGTTCCCATCCAAAGATTTTCCAATTCCTATTGGTGTAAGTGGCTTTGTTGAAACAAGGGTAGATATTGTGCCACCTTCATCCAATTTCTTGATTTCGTCATTTTCAAAATCTGTGAAAATGTGAGCTCCATCAGAACATACGATAAAGTCATTTGAAACACTTTGCATTTCTATTGAACTTTTAGTGACTCCGCTTGTGTTAAGCAGGTAGGCACTGCAGTCCCATCCATGGACCCAGGCAACTTCCTCTGACACGGAATGGATGGATACAATCGTGTTCGAAAAGTTTTTAAAGTTCGCTACCCTTATAACTTTCACGTGTTCTGGGTCTATCAGCTTGCCGTACATAGTTTCAAGGGCGGCGTGATCCATTTTACCCCTGAAGAAACAAGGGAGATATCCGTAAGCCGTCAAATCAATGTTGTTAACTTCGGTCATTAGCGCCTCGGCATCATTTTTCGTGTCGATCAGTTGAAATCCAGTCATGCAACCAGACTGCGTTTCCAAAAATCTAACCTTATCCAGCAAGTCTTGTTTGAAGTTGCTAAGATTGGTCTTCAAGTTGACAAGCCTTTGTTGACAGCGCGAGTATATTTCTTTGGACTTTTCAATATTGTTATTAGTAATTCTGAAAACCTCTGACACCATATCATCTTGTTGTCTCACTAACTTTCTGATTTGGCCCGAGTGTCTTTTTTCCTGCTCGTATTCGATTTGGTTGATGAACGATAAGCTTTCCGTAATTTCATGGATGCAGCCTCGTATCCCCTGGCAGATTTCTGGGATATCCTTCTTTTTCTCTGATGATATCTTTTTAATGCTTCCCCATCTATGGTCCTTATGTTCTGTCTGGCCACAGGTCACACAGAAGATGGTCTTGCAATCTTCACAACACATATCCCTGTCCTCATCGTGCTTCCTACATAACGGAAGCACTGCCCTAGAACTCCCAAATGTGAAATCTCCCATTCCAAACTTTATCTGAGCTTCACTATTTACATCTTCCTTACATGTTTATTGCAATGGCTCATTTCAGACCGAACAGCCTGTCCCCACAGGTCAAAGAATTTTGCGTCCTGTTCAACTTCCTGAGAGTGCTATATGTGGAAGGCGCCAATTTTATTTTTTAGTTAACGTGCCATTGAAAAGGTATCATGGGAAATGGGTAATTGGGAATAAGGAAGTAAACAATATGAAATAGAACAATTAATTGATCCAAGGAAAGTGTTTGTAAATAGTGGACCGCTTTTAGCTCATGAAATATGAAAGAGGACGAGGATCAAAGAGCTGTATTGATGACCATTAAAAAGGAGATTAAATATATATAGTCAAAGTAGAAAAAATCCGTAAACTGGGTGATAGACCGTCTTAGCAACTGCACAATACTCTCGGATAATTCATGTAAAAGTTCATCATGTTTACATACACGTACACACGTGTTACGGTACATATACGTTCGTTATTGTCACAACGTCGCTTTTATTGAAAATTTCTAACTTATCGTTTTCTTAAATATGATTTCTCACAAGATTGTTTATTAAATCATTTAATTAAATGTAAGTTAGACTTTGACACAGTTTCATGTGAACGATGAGGCATAAATAACATGAACAAATTATTCATAACTTTTCTCATGTATCAGATTTAAAAGTCCAGACAGATTACCAACTCCCGCTGCCTATGCCCCCAAGGTGCCCTGATAGCTTTTATTAGCTCGCTAATCTTTACCTGACACAAGCGCATGAAGACTTCGATTTGCTCGGCTAGTTTATAGTGGAGAAGGTCTATATTTAGAATACTGTAGCCTAAACATTAGCATTGAGACCCGGATTAGCGTGCCGCGGCTGCGATATCCGCCATTTTGCTAAGGTTTTTGCTACACTGTTCAATGTTGGTAAGTTTTAAGGATATGTAACAATTAAACACTATCCATTGTCAGATTGAATAATTACGACTCTGTAGTTTGGTATCTAAAACTTAACGTGAATAGTCAGGGCGTCTGCTTGAATATTAGTTCACAAATATCTTCGCTAGTTGCTATATATCTATTGATCGTGTCATTATTTTGCCACATGTAGCTTGGTTCTTATGATGGCTGTACATTCTATTCTATTTTTTGACAATGTAAACCATTAGTTGAGATACTATTTAAAATTCCACACGGACAAAATCGGTCAGGACTACTAGATCTATTGTTCACAATAACTATATTAGAAAATGAAAGTTAATCAGTCTGTTTCCCATCGTACCGTCAGGATTAGCACTTGCAGACAGACATGGATCCTGAAGAGTAAAAGATAGCATATATATTCTAAATAAATTATGTAAAACGTAAACAATGTGTAGTGTACCTTTTTTTTATTGGGGTTTTATTTGCATTTATTTACAATTAGCTATTAAATATGTAAAATTTAATTAAAACGAAATAAAACATAATGGTTTTTACTTTAGATTTGATGTTCACTATGGACGACAGAATGGAAATTTTCAAACTGGCACAGTCCTACAAGATAAAATGGGAGCTGCTACTTGAAAGTAAAGTGCACGAAGTACTCTGTGCACATGCACAGTCCTTAGGATGTGAATTGGATCTGCTAATACTACCCGTGTTTGTTTCTGTAGCCAGCGCCATGGGATCCAGAGCAAAGGTCAAGGTTACCAAGAGTTGGACAGAATGTGTCAATCTTACTGCCATTGTGGCAGCAAGACGAGGTGAAAGAAAATCCACAGTATTAAACTGTGTTAAAACATGTAGCCGACAAGTGAAAAACTTCACAGACGATAAAGAAATGGAGGGTAAATCGCAGGTCACCGTAATAAACGAGTCCTTTGTCGATAACATCACAGAAACCTGCAGAGTCCGTGGCAGCCGTCTATTCGTTATAGACGATCTCGACATTGTTCTTAAAAAGGTGATTCAAATGCCAGATATCTGGAATCTTCGCACCTTGCAAACGTCCTTGACCTCCTGTTCAGAACAGAATGGTGGCCCTTCTAGCACCAGTATAAACGTCATAGCAGCGGCTCAGGCAGCTAATATTTCAGAGATCATAAACTTCCCTGACCCAGGGCGGCTCTTGGACAGGATTTTAGTTTTATGTGCAAGGGATTTTGAAGATATTGTGATATCTATTAAACCAAGTGAAACCTTAGATACGATCCTCCAAAAGATACACGATCTACATGTTAATAAAGACGTTTCATACACTTTCAGTGAAGAGGCCACACTAGAGTTTGAAAGGTATGTTTCCAGGAAAGATTTCTAAACCCCTGAAAATCAAAAAGGTTCCTTTATTTTTGGAAATAAAGACAAATCAGAATGAATGGATTTGTTTTGTACTGACTGGAAATTGATGATCTTCATAGTGTACTGCTTTTTAATTATTTTAGATTAAGTTTTTCTATCTTGGGATTACAATACATGTATATTCAAGCTTTATAGCAAAGTTTACATCTCACATTCCAATAGTAAATTAAACTAAAAATTATTATTACTGTAATGTACACAAGTAACATCATTTTAATTTTTTTCCTTTTTCAGAATGTCTGGAATAATTAATTCTATTAAGAAACAGTGCCATAATGATGAACTGAAACGAGGATGTGCTAATCACGTGATGTCCCAAATGGCCCGATTAAGCGCCATATCAACTGCTTTGACGGCTGCAGTGACAGACACCAATACAGATTTTACCATAACAAAAACGACTGTCCAATCCATGTTTGTTGTCTCGCTGTACCTGCTGCGACAAAAATGTCTACTGTTACACGGGTCTGACAGTGCAACATACTCCGAACTATTTCACTCTATTCTTAGTAGTGAAGTTGAGCTACTTACAACGATGAATACTAGTAATGCATTCAGTGGAAGAGAGAATGAAGATGACGTCATAGAAATCACCTTGGATGGCAACAATGAACCTGTTGCCAGAATTATACCAAAACGTGACGATTCAGGAGAAACCAGTGACGTTGAAACAATTCAGCAATCTGACGTCACCATGTGGACAATGGAGAACAGAGACAACACCATTAGTCAGAATGAGCGAGAAACAAGCAGTGTGTATTATCCAAGTGTACCACAAGAAGTTGTAGGTCACCCCAAACAACAGAGAATAATAAACCCTCCACTAAATCAAGAGACAAGTAATCGCCAACATTATGAACAAAACCAGGTACTACCTCTTGATGGTGACAGTAAACAATTTAACAATTCAGGCATTCTTCGACCAAGAGGTAAATTTCGTCCTCCACCTCCACCTTTAAAACTTCGCCCACATCAACTTCATGTCAACCGTAGATTTATTCCTGCTCCAAAACGTCTGACCGACAAAACACAACTCAAAACATGCGTGTTCACATGTAGTGATAGTATTTTTGTTCAACTGTGTTGCGCTAAAATCAGAAAATGTCTGTTGACAAAAGGAATTTTCATCACCTCCTCGTACGCCTGCCAGTACCGCCTTTTCCCGCCCGTTCCTCTGGTACAGAGGACGTCGTCTCCGCGGACCACCCATCCCTCTTGGGCGGCTGTGAAATTCTTTGAACGTTTAGAATCTCTTGGCTTTGGCGAGGTCACAGTCTTTCGTTCACAGTCAGTAAAATTTAGGAAGAAGTCACTAGAGGAGATGTCAGAAAAGGCGAGGGCTATTCTTAGACAGGTGGGGATCACAGATGAGGAGTACAGGTCTTCTCTGACGACAGAGGAGGAGGTTCAAGGGTCCATACAGGAATATAATTATATTTTCACCGTACATCAGAACGGGGAGATCGAGACTGAACAAATTCAGCAAATGGACGTTGAGCAGAAGGTCCAACAGCAGACATGAAAACAACATTTCTTTTTGCCCAAGACCAACTTACAAAGTCCGAATTAGTTATTACTATATCGATTACTGTTAAAAATTAAAGAAAAAACAAACATGTGGCGGTGTTGTCTCATTGATTATATTGTTTATGACTTTTCCCTCATGTATAGCAGCTAGAACATCAAAGTATAAAGCACTCCAGGAGGTGGATCCAGGGTTTCCAGTATAGAGAGGGGTTTGGGCGGAGTGTAAATTCATAAAATGGCAATTAAAGAAATGAATGAAATAAAGAGCTCTGATTTTTTTTTTTAAATTTATGTGTCTTAAACGCGAGATAGAGATGGTTCATAATAAATTGTTACTTGTAAAGACATTTATAGAATAATAATACATGTGTGGTTGATTGCCCCTATCCCAGCTGTTCGGTTTGAGAAATTTGGAATTGCGTTTATACAACGGTCGTTCAATCATAAATTAATTATCTTGCATGTTGACATACTTTTCTCACATGTTGACATAATTTATCTTGCATGTAGGGGCCAGAAATATACCATTGTAACTTAGACCTTGGGTTTTAACAGATATTGTTTATAATAAAGCATACTGTCATCGTGTACTAGTATCTCAAGTGTTCTCCCACAAACTGTTACAGTGATCATTATATGGATCAATACACAGCTTATAAGAGTTTCTATCTGATGTTTTAAGTTCATGGGTCAAAATGTGATTGGAATTGTATAAACAATCAAACAGTATATTATACAATACAAAAAGGTTAAACTGGTTAATCAAATGATCTCTAGGTCATGATGATATCTGTTTGGGGAGGTATGGATTTTTATTTGCGCTTCGATCGTCAGCTGATTATGAGGAGGACAGACATGGCTTGTTAATTACGTAAAGTCCTCTTACGGTCTGTGAAATCCTGTCCACGTGGTCCGGGATTAAGAGATCAGTTGTGTGTACATACAGGCAGCATGATTCTGTTTACGTGTCACTGATTCGTCCATAAGAAACTACAATCCGCGGCGCTTGGGCCGTTGGAGTGGAATACACCCCTCAGGAGCTGACCTACATGTATCTTGTGCTAAGTAAGTGTAAAATTAATATGGTCGTGTAGATTGGGTATCTGAAATACTTCAATCAAGGCAGTTGTTAAAATTTTCAAATAACTGTGCTAACAAATTAAAACATTGCAAGGTTTTTCATGAGATGGGAGTTGATGTATTTATAGGGGATATTAATTGATCGCCTTAGAAAAGTTAACCATCGTTTCTTGTATCATTGTATAGGTTTTCGTTGTAAGCCCTTAAAATTGTGTTAAAAAATAAAAAAAAGAAACACGATTGTCAGAGTAACAGGGATTAAAAATTCCTTTCTTTTATATCTTCAATATAGTTACTTCCGGTGGATGTCCAATCTCACTGTAACAATAGTACCCACCTGTTCTCCTTTGGACAGAAGAAAGACATTATTAAACCTTAGGACAATTTCCCCCGATTCATTGCTTCGCCTTTATTTGCCTGTGTTCTGGTACAAATGTCCGAGATACTTCATAACGACTCAAAGAAAACCGAACAGTAAGTTGTAATTTACACTATATATACGGCTTACTTCAGAGGTTTCCATTTCATTATACTTTAGGATTGACTTCTTGTATTTTAGGGTGTAATTTTAAATTTGATTTTTCTATTTTATCTTTTTAATTATAAAATGTAAAGAAAATCTTTACAAAAATATATACTGATATACTAAGCCAGTAACTCTTTAATTCTATTACAGTGAACAAAATCCGTCTCGCTCACAGTCACAGTCTTCGACAAATAATGTGTTTCCAACAGGGCCCATTAAACTTAATTCTGATGTAAAGCCATTCATTGAAAGGGACGAACATATCTACTGTTTCAGGAACGCCAAAAGAGGATATGCCATTCTTATAATGAATTATGAGTTTGTAAACGAAGACGAAAATTTACCTGGAGTAAAGCGTGACATTGAAAATATGTCTAAACTATTCAATTCTATGGGTTTTGAAGTGAGGGAATTTGTTAATCTTACAAATATACAACTAATTACAGAGCTCGTTGGTTAGTATCTGCTTGGAGTGTAATGCTCTGATCCAAAGAATCAAGACTGTATAAAGCTTAAAGGACAATGTCTACATTTCAGTGGTATTGTATCCTCCATTCTTTAATTTGTTAAAAATATTTTTCTTACACAAGTTTTTGAGTAAAATCTAGACTCTGTTGTTTTTAGAAATCCAAAATGAGATGCCCAGTGACTGTGATTGCTTTGTATGTGTCATCAGTACCCACGGAGGGGAGGATCCAGGATTTTATATCAGATATCCTGAGGAATCGTACACAAAGACAGAACACTACCTCTTGAACACAGAAGGCGCTATCTGGACACGGCAGATTGTGGACATGTTTAACAATCAGCAATGTAAAGCACTAAAAGGGAAACCGAAATTATTCTTTATTCAGGTCAGGGCACCTTAAGAAGATGATTTACAGAATTTCTTAAAGGACAATAGTGTTTTGTTAAATTTGAACATCTTAATATTCATTATTACTTAATATTTATTAGGCTTGTCGAGGAAGAAATGTAGATAAAGGTGTTGATTTGTTAGAGAATAACGACGACGAAAGTGACGATGATTCTGTAAATAACGAAGTGTTCCAAATCCCATGTTACAACGATTCCTTAGTGATGTTTTCTTCTACCTCAGGTAATTAAGATATTGACCAAAAATCTCATCTCTGATGGTTTAACCTTCAGCCACTATTAGTTTCTATTTTTATTTTACATTGCTATTTACCTCCTTCATCATATCGTTGCATCGAGCAATTTACCACCCTTAAGAATTCATCTACTCAATATAAGGTGAATTGTCTACCAAAAATAGTTCTTCTATTATTTATTAAATTTTTTGATTGAAAAATATGTTGTTTCAAGCCGAATGCAATGATATTTTCGATTTTCTGATGTCCACTATTGTGCACCCATAAACGAACGTTTTTTTTTAGGTCACCCGACTCAGTCAGGTGACCTATTGCTATCTGTTTCTATAGAAGATGGAGAACATTGTGAATTTTATGGTCCCTAAACACCCCACCCCCTAGGTCTGAGGGATGGGGCCCAAATCATCACTTTAAAAATCTTTTTCTTTACTCCTGGACTTCAAGCTATCAAATTGGTGGCATAATTGTAATAAGCATTGAGCCCTCTGTCAGAATTGTGAAATTCATGACGCCAGGGCAATGAGTCTATTGATGATACAGTGAAAATGCACAAATTCTTCAAAAACTTGGTATTTAACAGACAAACTTAATGCATGATTATGATGAGCAAGGGTGCCTCTTCCAAAATTATGAAATTCATGGCCTCAGGATCAAGGGTTCCGGTTTTAGGACAGGCTCTATATTGATCATATTGTGAAAATGCACAAATTCTTTGAAAATCTTCTCTGTTCCGGAGTTATTTACCAGAGAAACTAAGTGCATGGTTTTAAGTGCGTCTTCTTCTAGAATTTTGAAATTTATGGGCCCTGGGACGTCCTGGAGTTAGGGTGGGGGTCTATTATGATCATTTATGGTGATTTTTGTTCCGCTTTATGAGAAGTTATTCCCATTAGTTATTCATTTTTGATAATTAATCACTGTAAACAATGTAACTGATAGATAAATTTAATAAATGAATGATACAAGATTTTTAAATGTGTTATACAAAATTAAAAGGTCTTTCACAATTTTTAAAAGTAGGTAGATTTGTAAGTAATAGATAAATAAAAAAAGGAGACAAAATATCTTAGTCATGTACATTAAATATTATTGAAAGACCAAGAGACTTGTTTGAAATGAATAATGCGTGTTATGTATAAAAGCACTATTGTCTTTGTTATATACGGTGATAGTGCTGGATTATACATAGCACTGCGTGGCATGTACAGAACAAGTTTCCGAGTTGTTGCTGATGACAAGACGAATTTTTGTATTGATCCCTATTATCCTAATTCTCTTGTTTTCGAGTTTCTGGTTATTTATGTTATTTTTTTTTATCTATATAACATTCCATGGATCCTTTACAGAGTTGCATTATGCTCAGGTGAACATTAAGGCCCTTGAGCCTCATGTTTTTTTCATCACAGTATCTATTTTTTTCTCAATTTTCTTAATGATGTACCTTCATACAACTCTGCTTTCCCATGTCTATGTTATTTTCTCGGTACCCAAGTCCTCATTAGGTACCATTTATATGGTTTTTGAGCAAACTGAACTTATCTGGTATTACCGTAACTTCCGTATAACTAACAATGAAGTCTAACCCTGAATAACGCTAACAAACCAGCCATGAATCAAAAAAATAAAAATTTGCTTACATGTATCAAAATAAAAGACGCGTACACTTTTTTTGAAAAGATACCTACAAAAATGTTATGTTTTGTCATCAAGTATAAATACAAAATAACAATATTAATATACTTAAAATATCTTTGGTATGTCGTTAAAAAGTCTTGATACAGAGAATCTCAACGTGGCCTATACTCTTATTTACATTTATCATTTTAAAGCTATTTTATTGACCAGTCGCAAAAGATACTGTATTTGGACAAAAAAGATGCAAAACAAAATATTGGACTTTTATTTCAGGTAAATATGCGTGGTCTGAAGACTTGGAGGGTGGCTGGCTTCTCTCAGCTTTACAAAAGGTATTCTCCAACAATACTGGGGAGGACTTACTTTCACTTTTGACACAAGTTTGTGGAGAAGTGGCGACTAGAGAGGCGTATATACCGTGCAACAAGAGGGCCCATCGGACAAAGAGCACCGCCTGTATTTATCACAAACTGTCCAAAGACATATATTTTCCTCCGTTCAAGTTTAAAAAATGAAAACTAAAACTTTTATGTCAAATATAATGATGGTCCAAAATTTCTCTTCAAGAAACTGCAAGGAAAATATTGATATACTTCTATGTGTATCATCCAGGCCCGTAGGAAGCAATATCAGTCCGAGGGGGCACAGCCGAACAGGAATTCTGGACAAGCGAAAAAAAGCACCTCAAAAAATTCTGGACAAGCGAAAAAAAGCACCTCAAAAAAAAAAGCATCATGATGCATAATTAGCGTGCAATAATGCCCAAAAATATATTGGATATTTCAATTTTTATTACCTCTCAGCATAAACAAACCTACCAAATTACGTTGTCCTGTGTCACTGCTTTCTGGGGTGCGTATCATTACCGCTACATTTTCAAAATTGTCATGACTTTGAACAAAATATTTTTGGTTTTTGTTTTCAATTTTTATTTTAAATCTATTTTATTCAATAAAACATTTAGAAAGTGTTAAAACCGAGCATTGTTCATGGATAAAACACTGTCTAATTCTTTAAATAATTGATAGAGCTTTGAAGGCCATTTGCTTGACGTACTGCTGACTGGAAATCTCTAATATGTATTATAATGGGTAGAACTTATATTCCGTGCCATTACTGGCTGATTCGATATGTAGCGGTAATGAGTTGTTCTCGGCAATAGTTTTTTTGGATAAAATATAGTGGTAATGATCACCCGAAATTTCGAAGAAAAGTAGCGGTAATGAGTTGGAATTTTTCGGTAATGTTGACCTCGCGCTTTCTGAAGGGAAGTAAGAATTTCCAAACTTTTTCCAGTTGAGCATGTCTACAAATGGTTTAATTTTGAATGATTCCATATTCAATTGTTAACGATGAGCTGGTTTCTTCTTATTTTTTTCAGCTGTTTGCTTCGATTCAACTTTTTAAAATAAAACAATAAGTTTGACTATATACGTATATCAATTTAAGATTTGATTTGCTCAGAATTTTTCCATTAAGTTAAGTCGGGTTCTAATCTTCACGCACACAGTTGCACCCAAAATTTTCTTATGATGATGATGATTATTATTTAAGGTTAAAAAAAAAAATCAATAAGGTAGCCATTACAAAGACCTTGTTTGCAAATACAACCTGTCGTTGGGTCAATTGTAGATTAACTCTTAACATAATTATTTCTACAAACATTTTTTTCTAAATTCCAATAGGTATTGCATGCATCTGTTGTAGTTACTGAAGTTTAGATTTATGCACTCAATACTTTGGAATATGTATTTTCAAAACAAATTTATTATTTGGTCTAATTTTGACTGATAAAACTTGTGCATACTTGCTGAATTTTTCTTTTACTGAAACATGTATTCAACTTCTAGACCACCTCCCTCCAAGAGTTATCAAAAAGGCCGTGGATTGATGCTACAACATTTATACTATATAGGATGTGCTTAAAAATTTTTAAGGAACATAAAACAACAAAAGTTGAAGTGTTGAAAAAATTAGCTTGATACGTTGACAGTTTGCGAGCTTATACATGTATCAACCGACCCTTTCGCTGTTGAGTTTTATGACATTATTGCTTCTCAATGTCCGCTCCTTCTTTCATGACGAGATACCCGATACCCTGACTGAAACCCATCCATCAATTTCCGGTGTCTGCACAAAGTTCATGTACGTTTCAAGTACCTGCTATAAAATAATGTCCATTTGAATTAAATTGTTAGTCATTGTCTTACATCTAATGGCGATTCCTTAGTGTAAACATACTAAAATATTTCTCTAAGTTTTTGTCAACGCACCGGTAACGTGAAACATATCATAGATAGCATTTACAGGAATTTTTTTTTTTAAACAGTGCGGTTGTCTAGAAAAGTTATGATAATCAGTGGCGTCAATTACTTTCTGTTCATGTGTACGCGTAGGCTAATGTGAAGTCAGGAGCAAAGTGTTAGTATGAAAAGGGTCCACCCCCTCTTGAGGGGAGGGGGGTTCACTCACAAAAAAAATCGGAAAAAAACAAAATGGTGCGATTTTATGTAATGATAATGGAAAGAAAGGTTATATTTGAGTTGCTGTTTATATTATGATTTTACACTTGTAGCTGGTCTAAGTCTATGAACTTAAGAGACATCCATGATTGTCATTTGATCAGTGAATAAGGTAATATAAACATACTTTTAGCAATAATGAAATCGGAATTGTTGTCATGACCATTTAACAAAATTGAGAAATTTCAATCCTGTTCAATTCAACCCTTTACAGTGTTAAGGTAGTATAGAAACTTCCTTTACTAACTAATCCGATTTCAAACAATACTTTGTTTTACGTTTTCCTAATAATACAATTTCATTGTTGAATAACTTTTTCAACGACCTCCTCATTTTATTTTCAATAATTTTGACACAGGATCAAATTTAGTATACATGTTGGTGATATATAGAATCTCCCGAGCCTTGGGGATAAAAACACACAACGAGTTGGATAAAAATCATATCCAACTACAAATCATGGGAGATTCTTTTTATCCCATGTTTAATGTTTTACACTGTTTTATATAGGACTCCACTTTATTTTACTTCATCGCGCTAACGCAAAAACCATTGTGACGTCACAACTGTGGATTACGAAAAAATTATCCAATGAGTCATATCCACGGGATAAAGGGGTAAACATGGGATAAAAAGATTTCGAGAATGTTAATTACTGAAAGACCTCGAATCATCATCACTGTCCCGACTAATAGGCGAATCTTTCTGGATGACCTCTTACTGTAAATGGTGTTCTTCTTGATTAATTTTTCATTTAACTTATATAGGATAGCGTTTCCGCCAGACTTGTCTTTACACTAAAATTCCCTTTTTACCATAGAATCATGAGCTTGATTTTTTTTTTTCAATTTCCAATAACTTTGACGAAGATTAGAAATAAAGTTATATGAAATGTGAAGAAAAGGACCAATCATCAAGCTCACAAGTCCACTGAAGCAAAACATTGAGATAAGAGCAAACATAGACCCCTAAAACCATTAGAGGTGGGATCAGGTGTCATAGAGGAGTAAACACCCCTTGTCGACTGGTAAAACCCACCGTGTGCTCTTTGTCATGATTTGGTATATGGAGAAATCCGGTCAATTCACAATGAAAATAATGGCCTACAATTTTACTATCCAAATACTTTTCCGTGTCAAAATATATGCAAATTAAGTCATAATTTATCACTTTAGAAGACGATTTCTTAGCCGGGAAAAGACACTTTTAAGAAAGGAAATTCAATGTAATAAATTGTTAAATGTACATCGTGTTTAAAGTGAATAAATTACCCAAAGAGACCTGGAGAAGATCGGTGGAGAAAGAAATAAAAGAAAACAACTGGTCACGAGGGCAGGTCCAGAGATGGACACAAGATAGACCGACATGGAAGTCTCTGGTGACGGCCTTATATGCTGACCAGCACGAAGAGGACTAAGTAAGTATAGTAAATTATGAAAATGAATAAATAAATCTAATGAATATAGAACTTTCGGAAAGAAGATTTGTTTTCTATACGTCCCTACTTTTTACGGGTCAGTAGAATTGGTTATGAAAAAGCTCATTTTAACGAGTATCCTAGTAAAAATATTAGTCTATAGTCCATATGAACAAGCGACAGTCGAGTAGTAGAATTTCACTTGTTAATTATACTCCAAGACTTCCATGTGTGAAATGTAAAATTTTATTTAAATAAAAAATCATTTAAATCGGTGGCCAAAAGCAAAACATTACTCTTCGATAAGTTAAAAGTAGAAATCATGAATATCTTATCACGTGATGTAGATAAGGTGATTGACTGATAATTCTGCCAAAAAAATCAGAAGTTAACTACCGGCTCACTCGGCATCAATGCAGCGAAATTCGCTACATTCACAAACCAGTGTTATCAAAACAAGACCCCGCTTTAAAGCATATTTTCCCACCATTTGCTTTTTGGACCCGTTGTTTGTTAATCGTGTGTATTGGGATACAATGTAAACTCGTTCTATGGATGAGTGAACAACAAATACGAGCAGAGGATTAGCGGACCAATTCTCTTTAAACTTGTTCCACGAAATCCGGGGGCATTCCGACAGTCAAGTGATTATTGATTGTGCGATCTGGATCCTGTTCACTTTTCTGGAATTTCTGTTCTAAATTTAACCTCTGTCGTAGGGGCTAGTCCAATGTTCTCACTGGGCCACTTACTTAGTTGACACCGAGAAAAGAAAGGAATGGACCCGGAGCAGCAGGGAAACAAGTTTTGGGAAAACTTTGAAGAAATGGCCAAAGGTAAGAATAGATTAAATCTACCATGGTAGATTATAGTTTACAGTGCAGTTCTGATAATTATAGTTGAATTATGAAATACGATGTTATCTCAATGATAAAGAATTTCATTTAGTGTTGCTAGTTTTAGATGAAATGACAATGTTGAACCGATCAAGTGTTGTCCTTTAACTGTGGTTCACGCCGTTTGGTTCTGAAGAAACAATTTGACCTTAACTCGTCAATCTCAATGTCTTTTGAATAGGCCAACAATTCTATCTTTAAAAAAAATATATGACAAGCAACAAAAGAAAATTTCCGTCTTTTTCATAATCGTAAAAAAGAAAACAAATGAATAATTTTACAGGCTTCATATTTAGTAAAATTCTATGGACAGGATTTTTCGAGGGATGATTACAATGCTGCATCTACAAGTCCCTGAATGTTTGTTATTTCTATAGATTGTACTGACAACTATCAAGCAACTAAAATGTCAATAGAAATATTGATAACATATCGTTAGTAACAAAACAATCCTACATGAATCACCGAACACAGTCAACGGAATGTCCAGTCACGAGACTAAAGGACTTTCGTATTGGAAAAAAGGAAGTTTTTGCTCCTTTAAATTTGATTGTGATAATTAAATCACATGAAAGATACTTCTATATTGTATTTTCCCTTGCTTTATTCTGCAATTTACTTTTTGAAATCGGTGGCCTGATCATTGCGTATACTGAGCACATAATTAGATGGATGCTTTTCAACAGAAGAAATATCGAATACATGTTTTAAAAATAATATATCAATAATAAATAAGTTTATAGTAATTAATTTCCAAAATTTCAGGCTTTGTCAAGAATTGTATTTGACAAAAATATTGTGGAATTTAAGGAAAGTGTATATGATAAAAGTGTTTTTATTACTGCTTATCGCATTAATTCAATTAATACTTTTTTGACTTGTTAAAATGACTTCAGGTAAAATTCTTTACAGAGACAGAACCTGACGGACTGAAAGCCTTCAAGAAAACACTTACAGAGTAAGCATTGTCAAAACTGTTCTTGCTAAATTATGGAATGACTCGAGATCACTTAGTTAATCGCTCATTTGAAGAAAGGGGCATTTATTGTATCACCCATAGGGGGCAAATTTAATGATACTTGAAGATCATTTGAAAAAAAAAATCAGTTACTTCAGAAGGGTAAACTTTCAATTCACCTCTTCCCTTTTTTGCTGTCGGAATTTTTTTAAAACTTGAAAACTGTCTTGTTTTCAATGAAAGCTATTACAGAGTTCTAATATACACCCAAAACGAGACTACAGGATAGACATTTGATTACCATATTAGGACATTGTTGTTGACCTAAATTTAGTTGTAAAAAAAGATTGCACATAAAAAAAATCAATACATTAAGAATTAAATACTTGAAAGTTGATATCTACATCGTTTGTGAGGTAAGGAATAGAGCAAATATTAACAGACAAACAATGTCGCGGATGAGGCGTCAATAGAGGGTACTTTAATTTCTAAGTAATTTGTTAGGCAGATATAAAATCTAGGCCTATCGTATTACTTGTAATGCATTCCTGTATTGCTTAAAATATACTTATCACCCTTACCTACATATGTAGATTTTGTCTTTACAAAATTTTGTTGATTTATTTCCAAAGGAAGAAAAATCTGAGACATACAGTAACGGCATTACACCTTGCATTTTCTCTTTTTTCAGTTTTCTTGGTCTAAAGTCAAAGAAAAAGAAAAGAAAACATGGAATTCCATCTGACGATAATATTGACGAGGATAAAACAGGACTCTTGAAGACTCGAACCAATCAGAACAATTCGGAATCACGTGCAGCTTCCAGCATCCCAGAATCCGGAAGTGTGGTATGTCAATCACAGGACTCCAGCGAACTCCACTGGTCATACCCTGAGTCTTCCCGCCCACTAACTGACCATGGCCATCAGCAGTCTGTCGACGATAACCGATACCTATTCCGCCACGAGAAGCTCGGTTATGCTGTTCTTGTAATCAACAGTAAATTTGACAGCCAAGCTGAAAGAAAAAATGCTGCATGGGATGTATACTACATGCGTAAAATGTTTCAGGAGATGGGATTTGAAGTAAAACTTCTTGAAAACCTTACTTCTAGAGATCTTCTTACTAAAATGAAAAGTAAACATAGCTTTTGCTAACAGCTCATTGTAAAAATGAATTAACAAATGTAAAGATGCATTTTTTTTACCATGTTAACTTAGTTATCTTCACACTTTACATATTTAAGGATACATAACACAGACAAAAATTTGATGCATGGGATGGTATATATATGATTAGAAATGACATAAATAATAAATCACTATAATATTGTGACAAAATCTTACAAAATTCTTCCACTGGCTAATAAATCACTATAATATTGTGACAAAATCTTACAAACTTCTTCCACTGGCTAATATTATTCTGGTTACCTATCTATGAGAAATATTGCTTATTTGTGAAAAAAAAGTTGTTCATGTTATTTATCCTTAAAGCAAGATATGTGTATCTGGGGAAAAAATTTCTAAAGATTTGATTTAATCCTTTTTTAAAAAATCCTTAAACTGTTTGAACTTTTTTCATTTATTTTACTTAAGCTAATAAAGCTTGGAATAAAAAGTGATGTGAAACATATACATGAATTACAGATATACAGCAAAGCATAACTAAAGAATCGGACTGTTTTGCTTGTGTAATCAGTTCTCATGGGATGGAGGGACAAATAAGCACGAAGGGCAAAGGTCCCGAGCCTTTTGTCCGTACAGAACATTTTGTCTACACCAGAGACGGGGTGGTGAGGACCACAGAACTCCTGGAGCTCTTTAATGACCGGAACTGTCGAGCTCTGAGAGGAAAACCAAGGATGTTTTTTATTCAGGTGAGATTAAAGCACTTTGCAAAGGTACAAGTCATCTGGAAGGAATTGTACAATCATCTGGAAGGAATTGTACATTCAATAAACATTATTATGGATTATTTAACCTTTACTGATTTTTCCCTATATAAAATTAGATCGTTAGATATGAATCATTCCCTAGAAATCGCTGTGAATGGACTAATGCCCGTTTTGCCGTGCGCTAGGCAAGTGAGCTAATCCCTACTTCGAAAGCTTTAACTGCAATTCTCTAAATTTTACGTTTGATTGGTATAATAAAGCAGTTAAAATTTATATCATTGACTTATTTGGCTATTCCCCTTGACCAGAGCTATTTCCCCGGACTCTGCCTCACGAAATAGTCTTGGCTTCGGTGAACTGGAACCTTGCTAACTCCCTCAATGATATACTAAATATTCTAAAAACTTTCCTATTGCAATCAGAAGCACACATCAGACCGAACTTCCCCAAACAATGCAATAGTGGAAATGAAATCGGAGTAAACAATATATTTTTAAAATTTTGCAAAATTCTACATTTTCTGAATTACAGAAATTTACTCATTATTATTTTTTCCATGGCAACTACAGTCATTTTGGAACTTTTAAACCACAGAAACCTTAGATAACATTTGCACATCAATATTATGCAATATGAAATATATTTAGAGGAAAAATTAAACATAAAAGAAAATTGCACTTCTTTGTATCCATGGCAGTACTGAAAAATTGCACAACCGATTCCATTTTTGCATTTATCAGTTTGTTTTGATGCAAGAAATAAACTTTTTTCGAAAAAATTAACTGGACAGTTACTGGCAAATTTTACTATTTCGTCTCTTTCCATGGCAATGGTGGCCGTTTTGAAAAATGTTAAATGGTGAATGCATAACTAGACTTGGTGATTATCAAATTCTGTGAAGTGTTCAAGTCATGTGCTAGAACATTTGCGGACAAAATTATAGGTAGAACAACAACAATATACCTCCCCTATTTCATTCTTCCAGGGTAACATAAAGACGAATTAATGAGATACTGATCCATATTTTTATAGCATAGTAAACTGATATCCTTTTAGGCCTGTAGGGGTAGACTTGATATACAAAAAGCTGACGAAGTTGACATGGGTGTGGAAGTACCTGTCCACTTTATTCAACCGGATGTTACCAAAGACGGAACTAAGGCTACAGCTGCCGATGTCGGAGGCATATATGACGATTATGAAGGTCGACGACCTGAGGAATTCCGGAATAACTTTTATTTTGCCAGTCTTAATCCACTGTATGAAAAAAGTCGTGCTCATGGTTTATCTGGACAGTTTACTGGAAATTATCTGCAAGCACAAAGTCGTTATGTGGTGAAAGAGCAGGCTGTAAAGAGTCACCAATCAAGAGAACCTCCTTGTCGCACCACAACATACAAATTTCCAAATATTGACACAAAACCAGAGAATATCGAGGTCTTTCAGATTCCTTGTTTTAATGACTTCCTTGTTATGTTTTCTTCCGCAGCAGGTAAGACTTTCTGGCATGTGATTATTTAAGACTTCATTTATTTGATACAGGCTTTGGTATTCAAAAACGTCTCTTTTATCATTAATTGTTGTTCAGCAGCTGTTGTCTCCAAAATTGCACGAAGCAGTATATTTCAAGTTCCCTTCAAAGCATCGTCTTGTTAAATTTTTTGGTGCATTTCTAAACTATAAGTATATAAATAGTACTTTGTTTAAATATATATGGTGGTAGATCATTAATAAAAATCCAACTTTTTGTTCCTACTTTCTAGGTACAATAGCGTGGTCCGATCAGGGGAAGGGTGGTTGGCTGATGTACTGTTTGTATCACGTGTTCCGAGACATCACTTACACAAACGAAGATCTTATGACAAGTCTAACAAGAGTTTGTGGGAAAATGGCGATTGAAATGGAAACTTATTGTCCCAGCACCCCTCACTACGACAAAGCCAAGTCTGCTGCCTGTGTGTATCACAAACTTACGAAGGACATTTATTTACAACCTGTCTCATATGTATGAGAGAGAAATGAGAGAGAGAGAGGTCTTATTTATACTAAAAGGGTAAAATATTATATATATGAAGGGTAAAATTTTTACATCTGTTTATTATTTTTTATTGCTTGTTGTTATTTTTAGTAATATTTTTTGTTTGGGTTATTTCATAGTAACATTATATGTTCTATTAATTTACATCTGTACAGTGATTACCAGTATTACTGATGTTCATTAAAAATATTTACAATACCGTTTTTCTTATGAATAATACACTACAGTGTGGATACTGCTCTGAAAAAGGTAAAAGCGAATTACCAAATAGTCCAATGTGTGCAGAAAAAAGGGGGAAAAAATCATCTTTTTAAAATATTACTCACTAAAGAGAAAAAAATGCCTAGTATACATCCTTTTATCACCCCACCCACCCACACAACAAATCATATGTACAAGTGAGGTAAATCTCATCATGATACAAATGTTTGATAATATGATTCGATCTGTCCTGATTCCACCTGGCCATTTTTACAGAAAATGAAAGTCAGATGCAACAAAGGAAATAATCCTGATAGTGTGCATCCCTAGTTACACCATTCATGTAATTTCGTCCAGTAAGGATAATAATTTATACATGTATATGTAACAGACCCGCTTCAAATTTTGACCTAGCCACTTGTAAAAGCAAGAAATGTAAATAGAAACATGTATATATATGCAAATCATGTGGCACTATTAAAAAGGGTCAACTTCAGAATGTCAGTAACGATGGTGAAAAAAAAAGGGTAACCTATTCGTCAAGGGAAATCATAATTGGAAGTTTTGATTTCTATCTTTGGGGTAGTTTATTTCTTAGAGAGAACCAGTGTACCAAGTTTGATTGCTCAAGATACTGAGCAGTCAATATTTTCCTATCTTGACCAGTTAGATCTGACTTTTGACCTTGTGACTTACAAAACAACATGGTCATCTACTCCTTAGGGGAAACCAGGTTTGATGTCTGTCAATCAAGGGTTCTCAAGATATTGAGCAGAGACAATATCTTTGTCTGTCCAGTTTTACCATTGACCTTTGACTCTGTGACTTCAGAAGGCTTAAGCCAATGTACCAAGTTTGATATTAGTGAAACGAAGGGTTCTCGAGGCACTGAGCGAATATCTCCCTTTGTCTTGAGTATTTATCCCTTAACTTTTGACTTTAAAATCAAAAGGGGTCAACTACCCCTTAAAAGAAAACAAACTAAACCAAACTAAGTTTGATATCAGTCAAAGAAAGGGTTCTCAAGATATTGATCGGAAAAGACAGACTACTGACCGACCGACCGACAAGTGGAAAACAATATGCCCCCTCTTTAATCCAGCAGCTTACCCTAAATATTACAGAATCTGGCACTATACGTACATGTTTGATACAAATACTTGAAAATATTCATCCAGAGAAAATAGAACAGGTATAGCATCCGTTTCATGTTCCTCCTCGATACTGCACGGCTAACTACCTGGCCATGGGTCTCCATCACTTGATCCGGATATTGCTAAATTTCAGCTGAGATTCGGCTTGACTGGATACTAGTTTCTGGACTTTCATCGGTGAAGGTATCAGTCCCTTGTCAGTCAAATCTTAGCCGAGATTAGGATATTGCCTGCTGGAGAAAAAAAAAGAATTTTGTTTTTATTGTTTAATAAGTTTTTAAATTCCCATGATATAACATAAACTGAATAAATTATAATCTAAGATGCTACCTACTGTGTAATGTAAACACACACACACTCACATAAACCACAGGTGCTTGGGGACGGGACCCCCTCCCCCGTGTTCCGTACCCCAAGGGTTCTTTGACTTTTTTATTAAATAAAATATTCTTCTATGACACATTGAAAAAGTATTACAACTGAAAAATCCAAAATATAACCTAAATATAACCTAAAACTAGCCTTTTATAAAAAATCACACTCTCTGATACTGAAAGTTCTCTTTTAGTATCAGAGAGAGTGAATTTTTATGAAAGGCTAGTTTAAGGTTATATTTTGGATTTTTCAGTTGTAATACTTTGTGAATGTGTCATAGAAAAATATTTTATTTAAAAGAAAAACCCTTGAGGTACGGAACACGGGGGATGGGGGGGGGGGGGGTCGTCCCCAAGCACCTGTGACATAAACCCCAAACCCCTTTTTTTGTCAATTAAGGTGATGAAATACATAATTATGATAATCCACTCATCGTTTGAATACTTTTTCAAGATATTGGATTCTTTTTCAAGATATCTTTTATAGCTTACAATATTTCGGAAGTGCGACCAGATCAGAATGACCAGTAATCCACACAGGCACTTGGGGTATGGACCACCCCCCCCCCCCCCTTCTCCATTTTTTTTTTAATCTGGGGTCGAGTTACTTTTTCCTATTTTTATATCCTAATATGTACTATATGTTATCAATAATGTAACTCTTTTTTCTCTATATGCTGTTTTTAAATATACCGTTTTCGACTGATACATAAAATCTTATGTATCAGTCGAAAACGGTATATTTAAAAACAGCATATAGAGACAAAAGAGTTACATTATTGATAACATATAGTACATATTAGGATATAAAAATAGGAAAAAGGTGACTCGACCCCAGATTTAAAAAGAAAAAAAATGGAGAAGGGGGGGGTCCATACTCCAAGTGCCTGTGGTAATCCACTCTGAACCAAGTGCTGTCTTCTAAAAATAACATACCTCTAGATAGGCACTCATTCACAATAAAAATAATACAAAATATAATGAAATTATATAAATGTTTAGAAAGAATCTTTTCACATAAAGTGAATAGAAGTCTCTGAAAAGTAATTTATTTCGAAGAAACGGTGACGTTTGCTCCAACTGGGCAAAAAATAAGAAACGGTTTGCAACCTGTGTTTTACATTACGGAAAAAATAATCTCTTTGGACCCATTTCTTCCTCTTCTTCGCATATAAGTTTCCGGTATCAAGAAAGTGCAAAAAATGCAACAGAGTGTCTTGCATACTGGGGCCGAGATGTAGATCTGTATAAGTTTTGGAAATAATACAGTGTGATAGGTTAGTCGACATGTTCCAATATTTTAACATATTAATTGTTTATCTTACCTCTATAGGAAACTTATACATTTTAAAGAGTTACGTCTCTTTTAGGGAAAAAAAAATATAATAACTTTGTGTAATACTTAGTTTAAAGCATTTTTCCTCATCTTCTATCAAACGAGAACTAGTTATGTGTGTTTAAATATACCTTTTTATGTTAAATACTTAGTTTTATTGAAACACGGTAAAATAAATTGTATATATTATAAGAAACATTAAAAATATTTACTTGTTTTAAAATTGAAGTATTGTTTAACTAACGTAAAGAAACTTCATAACTGCGCTCACTCTAACGGTTGTACCTTATTGCTTAGCGAGCTCTATAGGTAACACGTTTAAAAATTTTGGATCCTCACAAGAGGATAGACTATGGCAAAGTTACTATAAATTTAAACTAATGAACACATTATTGTGGTATTTAAAAGCAGACATGGTAAGAATAACGCGAGATGAATAATATATTTATATAAATGTTCATAATAAAAGTGTGGTGAGCAGAAATTGATACTTTTTTTTTTTAATTCGAATCTCTCTCTTTTTATGTCAGACAAATTCTTCCATGAAACATGTTTTTAAAGTAGTCTCCCTTTCTTAACATTGGCAAGTTGTTCTCTATTGCTTAGATATTAAGTGCGCGTGTTTTTATTTTTTTTTTAAATTGACAATAATGCATATATTATGTATTATTTTAATGTTGTCGATTTATTGTACTTATTAAACTGATGGAAAAATTTTAAAACTTTGTAAAATTAATAAAATGAGCATTGAATGGAAAACTTGTAAGGAAAAGCATCGCGTACATTACAATTGTGGAATTTACAGACGGACATAAACGCCATACCATTATAATTCACGGTACAATGATACGCCTGTCGAATTATAAAAAATTTTGAGTCCCTCAGAAGAGGGAGTAAGTACTATGAAATGACAAACTATGGTAACGTTGTAACTTAATACAACATTAATCACATACAAAACTGAAACGCGACTCGAGGAACCTACTTGTCCCTTGTGATAATAAAATTACGAATTGCGATTTTTTTTTTAACTTTAGTAAGTTAAAAAGACATGCTGGCGCATGTTATTATTTCTTATGATTTTACTTAGATGAGGTTCAGATAAATGGTGTTCATTTAAAATTATGAATTCTAAGAAAATTACAATATTGAAACGTGTACATGTATTTTTGTGGAATAACAAAATACTTTGTATTTTAAAATTGTTAGGGATATGTAACAATATGTGTAATGTAAATTCTTTAATAAATGTAACGATGTCTGTAGACTTTAATATATTAGTTTATTCAGGATATAACTTTGGGCAATACAGCCCATCAGTTTACAAAAATAACATAGAATAACATATATTACAAAATTTAAGACTCTCAGTGAGCCTAAATTGGGGGGGTGAAACCCCTGGTCAAGTGTTCCTCAGTCCCGCAGTTCCACTCATCTATAGTATACAATAATATATTGAACAAATTAAGTACAATACAATAAGCAGTACAATACATAATTCAAGGTTATAATACAATATATAGCAATGATGTTTTGATGTACAGACATCTGAAAATATAAACCTTACACAGATAGAAATTAGGTTAACCTGACTGATCTTTGTTACGTAATATTAGAGCATAATGAATATATTTCCCTAAACCAACCAAGGTAGATATGCGGTTGGTACCCAACAATTGGATTAATTTAAAAGTACTTGGCGATTTGTAATGATATTCAGTTATATATTTTTTTCTTAAATTTAGATATCTAGGGCATTGAAGAATGAAATGGAATTCGTCTTCTATTTCACGTGTATTACAAACATCGCATAATCTATCCTCTCTACTTTTGCCTTGGTACCTTCCGCATTCTATGTTAAGATAGTGTGACGAAAGTCTAATGCGGGAAATATGTTTTTTTTTTAAATTACTCTGAAAAGGTTTTGTTAAATAGGATTGCATTTTACAGAAGTCAGATTGGACAATATGTTTATATAGAAAGCATTTTGACGAATTATCCATAAATGCAGTGCACTCTTGGAGGTATATATCTAGGATTCTATTTTTATACATAAAATAAAATGAGCGAAGTTTATTGCTTGCTGTTTTATCCAAAATTCTCCCAGACCCAATCTAAATAGTTCAAGTTTTACATCACGCCCGCAGTTTATACTCGTTCCCGACCCATTCTCTGCATCATATCGCAGGTATTCATAAGAAGATTTTAAAATGCAGTTTTCTGTTTTTAATAATTTACACCAGAATTTCATAATTTTCAAAATTTTTTTTAAAGAATTATAACATTAAACGTGAGGGCGCTTGTCCGCCGCGCCTTATCTAATAGATCTGCCTTTGGATGTAAAACCTGTAAGGTCGCATTCAGTACTTAAAACTGAAACCAACATATGCTGCAAATTTTACAAAAAATTCTAAAGCTTTTAGTAAAAGTGAGTTCTTTAAAGCATTGGTAAAATCCGTACGCTTATCCTAACAAGTACACGGTATCTTTTCTTTTTGAACAGGTTAAATCAAAAGCCTTCCCGAAAGTTTACATCTGTAATGGCTGTAATAAAGTTGGTAATTTTTGTGCTTACAACAGTTCTTGTGGCAGTGATAATGCAGAGAATCGTTGTCGTATGGTAAGAACCGAAACAAATTATATATATATATATATATATATACATACATATATATATATATATATATATATATATATATATATATATATATATATATATATATATATATATATATATATATATATATATATATATATATATATATATATTGCTTTACGTCTTTTTAATTATTTTCAGTTAAAAAATAAGAAAATAAATATATACATACAGCTATTGTTTATTCTATAGGGATGTGTTACGAAGTACCGTGATTGCTATTCACGCCCCTGGTCCATGTATCGAACTGGAAGACGCAGGTACAAAAAATTACTATTTATAAATAGTGTGTGTGTTTGTAAGTGTGTGTAACTTCCTAAAATATATGAGTATACCATTTCGATATATTTACAAGTAGATGGTGGATCTGGGGATTTGTCGGTACTTCCAGATGGAAGAGTGTTCATCTCTAGTGTAAGTATTCTATAGAAGTATTTTACTACCAATATTAATATGAGAACATTACCAATGCATATTTTTCTGTAAAAGTCTAAATAAAGAAAGAGAACTGATAATTTATCATTTTTCAGTTGAAAAAAATAATTATTAATCCTCATTTCAGCTCATAGTAGTAGAACAGTCGGTATTTAATGACCCTACATTAAACAGCTGTTAAAGATATAGTCAAGAGTAAGACAGGTGATTTAATTTTCGCCAGGGCTTTTTTCCGGGTTCTCGCGGGAAACTCCTCTTTACAGATTTTTTAGACCCAACCCACGCCGTTAGAGAGCTTCAGATACAGGGCAATATAAATGTATCGGAGGCACATTTCCATGGACTCTCATTGTGGCTGAACAAGGAAAAGGGTAGGATAAGCGGGGGGGGGGGGGGGGGGGGAGGGGCCACATGTAAACTTTTTTGTAGAAATAAATAATTTTATAATAATATACAATGCACATTCTTGAATGGAAAAATCCTACTGTTATTTGAAATATAAATATTTTTTCTAAACTTCTACAGGAATATAAGGTTAAATACATTCATTGTTTATGATTAAATGCCAATTGTTGAGATAATATTTTATGTGTTTAGATATATTGATTGAATAATATATGTTGTGTGTGTGTTGACTCTGAAAAGGCACCATGACAATTGCTGTTGTAAATCACCCAACATCTGGACAGGACACCATTGAGTTTTTCAATTTTGACGAGAAGAAGCAAACACTTATCCACACGAAAACTGTAAAAGACCCTCTATTTTCATCGTAAGGCACTAATGATATCATATTTATCTATTTATTTGTAAAATCATGTAATGATAATGAGAGAATATATACAGGATTTATTATAAGATGAGTGACCTGTTTGAAATGATTTATTTTAGTTTGAATGACATCGTGCTTGTCCAAGAGAACCAGTTTTACGTCACGTGCTCACAGAAGTGGACCCGTTTGGAATTATTTTTGCACATCAAAATGGGAGAAGTCTTGTTTTATGATGGGATCAAGGTCAAGGTCGTTGCAGGAGGACATTTGTTTGCAAACGGCATCAATGTTTCTCCCGACCAGAGGTATATATATATATATATATATATATATATATATATATATATATATATATATATATATATATATATATATATATTAGGGATGGCAATTTGTAACCGGTTAACCGATTACTCGGTCGGAACGATGGTAATCGGTTAGAAAATCTGTAATCGGTTAGTCGGAAAAAAATATATATGTAAATTTGAACGCAATTTTCTTAAATTCCTAAAAAAGAAACCTCTGCATTAAAGTTGATAATTTAGTTTTTTTCATTAAGCTTATTTGGAGGTAATTATGGCTCTCCGGATGGAGATCGCGGGATAATTAGTCAGTTTGTGAAGTGTTAATTATTGTTTTTAAAAACACCAAGCTGTTACCCCCGACTGTCCTGTAATTCTTTAATTATATTAAACAAATCACCGTTCCGCGCTGTGACTTGATATGAATATCTTTTGCCGTTATCTGTTGAATTATATTATAAGACAAACATTGTAAATTAGTGAAAGTTCAGACATAGTTTTAATTATGGTGACAATGCAGAATGAACTTGTGTGACATCTACTCTAGAAAATTATCAATGGTCTGATTTTACAGGCATGCGTGTTTCATGTTTTTGTAATTTTTTTCTTGTCTATTGAAATTGAAAAAAAATAATTATATGTACGTGTAGTTTCCTGATCAAGATTAACAGAATTTTTCCTGCTTCTAACATTTTTTTATAGGCTTCTTGGGTATATGAATAGAGGTACTCGAAAAAAAAAATTCAAAAATGTTGTATTTTGATACGATTAACCGACTAATCGGTCGGAACGTCTTGCGGTTAACCGATTAGCAATTCTGTATTCGATTGCCATCCCTAATATATATTAGGGATGTCAATTTTGTCAATAATTCATATTCGAATATTCAATGAAAGTATTCGAATATATTCGAATATTCGATAAAATAAATAAAATCTGTTTTATTTTAAATATGCATCATCCTACTCTCGTAGGAATACTTATGTAGGAAGTAAAATTGTATGAAGACTTTGTAGGTGTACAATAAGAAATTCCATTTGATATTTGTCAATGTTTGAAATAAATAATTGATTTAAATGTAGAAAAGTATAATTTTAACAAATGAAACGTGTATTTATAGTAGCCCCACCTGAGGAACCAGTCGTCTCACAAAAGGCAAGATAGCCGTAACGGTATACTGTTCAGATTTCAATACGTGTAGTAAATTACAATTATCTGCCTGATATGAGATATGATTATAATCTTTGATACAATGTAAACAAATATTTACATAAACAATTTTCCCAGGTAATTAACTGTTTTCCCGATAATGAATATAAATTATGTACAACCCGAGATAATCAAGTAATTTACACATTTATTCTGAAATTAAGCCCTTTACAATGTTAATTACAGATTAATTATATCGGACATTCATTCAATGATCAATTAATTTTATTTTGATAAGTATACTCTTCAAGCATTTTAGTTATTCTTAGATTTCATTTGTTTTCCTCGATTCTAGATCCGATCGTATCTTTAACTAATAAAAGCTATGAAAGTACGTTTTGTATTATACATAAAGCAATATTATACAATTCTTTACAACACCTTACTCAAAACAAAATACATGTAATTTAGAAGATTTATAAGATAAGAAAGTAGTGAAAGAAATCAGGCGATCGAAATTGATCGCTAGTAAATTAAACAGGGATAATTCCAGCACTGTTCTAATCAAAATTTATTTTTATGAAATCTGAAAAACACCGAATATTCGAATGTTCGAAAATTCATTGCCATCCCTAATATATATATATATATATATATATATATATATATATATATATATATATATATATATATATATATATATATATATATATAAGTTTTATTTTTTTTTTTTTATAAATTATTAATGTTTTTGTAAGCAATGGTATGTCCAGGCGGCGCAACCTCCGCAACCTTACATATGACGTTTTTTCTACCTGAGTGTAACTGATAAAAACTTTTTGATACGAGCGTTTGTCATCAAAAAATCCCGTTATTTCGGGATTTATTTATTTGTGGTACGACACAATTGTTCCGCAAAATTTGCAATTTTTAAACCAATTCCGTAAGTTCTTTGAAATTTTATCGTAAATTTCATATGGAATGTCCAAAAAATTAAGGGATTGAAAATGACATCAAAAAGGTTGAGGGGTTTCTTTTTCCAGCATTCTATAAAGTTTCGCACCTGGAAAAACTGGTATAAACCTAGGGCATGTTTAAAAAATAAAGAAAAAAATTAAAATCTTCCAGAGTACTTGTTTTTTTAAATGCCCAAAAAGATTCAGAGAGATGAAAGATCCACAGTTAATGTCGATTTGTAGTCAGGGTGTCAAAAGTCAGTCACGTCGAAAAGTGACGTTGATCGTGTGTGGTAGAAATTGAACTCCACCAAGCTAAGTATTCTGGCATAATCAGTGAGGATCTGTTCCTATATGTATAGATCCAATTGCAAAATTATAAGCTTATGCATTGAAAGCAGCTGTTCATGGCATTGTAAAGTAATATTAACAAGATGGGTTTAAGTCCTTACTTAGCTCCAGTTAATCCATGCCCGTAGGAACGGTTTCAAAAGGGGGGGGCGCCCCCCCCCCCCAAAAAAAACTAACCAAAGTGGGGGGGGGGGGCAACTTCCCAAGATGATCTGACAAGCAGAAAACGGTAATTTACTGTCCGAATCCTGAAATTTGCTGTGCTCGGCCTTAAACCATCAAAAAGTGGGGGGGGGGGGGCAACCTGCATCTTAAGGAAAAATTACGCCCTCTGCCCCCCCCCCCCCCCGCGTTCTACGGGGCTGTAATTTCATCAAGATAAGCAGAGGGAGCGGACATTGAGAAACAATGACGTTGTCGGACGTTTTGAAACTAAATGGCGATAGCGCCAGGTGACCATATTATGTCTTTTTTATTTTAGAATAATTTGGCAAAATATCAACGTATCAAGCTAAAATTTTGAATAATTTGGCAAATTATCAACGTATCAAGCTAAAATTTTGAACGTTTCTTAAAATTTTGTTGTTTTTATCTTGTTTTTTTTTTCATAAATTTTGTAAGCACAGACTATACATTTTGTATTAATTTTATCGCATCAGTCCACGAACTTTTTGATAACCCCTCGTACACAAATAATCAGCAAAATATGAACTTCCTATATTGAAAAATGGAGGAGCTATCCGAACAAATGATATATACCCTTTAGGCATTCACCCATCCGCCCGCCATATCAATAACCGGATTTTTCCGATGGAAATCCCGATTAAAACTTAAAATGGCGTTCTTAAAATGGCCCCTAGGCCTTCAGAAATTTTTTACTGGGATAGCCCTTATACAAGTTCATACTTGTACCCTCCTCTTGCACTTGAGGTATCTGTATAGTATTTCCCTCGTTTTCTATCATCAGCTGATTTCTTGGGGGGTGATTCTCCAGGTGCGTTAACCAAACTCCACCGTCGCGTTTTCAATGTGCGCCACCAGTTCATCTCAATCTAAATATCCTTCCCCTTCCCCCAGCGGTCCCCAAATATACATGTACCATTGAAACTCCGTTGTTGTCTATGCGGTCACAAGAAAAAAAACAAAGCTTTTGTATTATATAGATTAAAAAAAACCATTCTTTGATAACATTCTTTTTTCTCTCTCCATGAAGTTGTAAAAGTTGAGAACATCAAATAATACTTTTTTTTAATTTGTAGGTTTGTCTATGTGGCTGAACTATTAGAGAAAAAGATTTCGGTATATGAAAGAAAAAGCGACAATAGCATTGAACTCAAACAGGTGAAAAAAAAAATGAAAACTTTTTTTTCTTCAAGAAACTGGGGTGTACTGAATGATAATTAAGAACTTATTTACCTGTCATTTTTAGAGTAAGTATTTGGACACAGGGGTCAGCAATATTGAGGTTGACCCCCACACTGGTGACCTGTGGGTGGGTGCCCACCCTAGAATCAGCACACTAGTCAGTTATATGTGGAAGGAAGGGCAGGGAATGGTTTCCCCATCACAGGTACGATAGAGAAATGACATATATTCGTACCCTCACAGTTCTAGGTCTGGATGTATGAATTTATTCTTGAACTATATATATTCAATTTACAGGTTCTGAAGATAAAAGCCGAGAATGGAATTTTGGAAGACGTCATTGAAGTTTATTTGGATGACGGCGGTGAATTAACTGCGTCTTCCGTAGCAGCATTTTTCAAAAATAGGCTGATCATCGGAAGTCTAGCCTCAAACTTGTTACTTTGTGATGTTAAATACTCAAAATAAACTGTTAGCATAATGCGGTAGATTAGAAACAGGGTATGTCATCAAAAAATATATAAATATTTGATCGTGCCAGTCATGATTTTATGCTTAAAATTACATACAAATATTTTGTGAATATTTAAGATTTATGCCTATATTTCCGTATTTTATTAAAACAATTTACAATAAAAACAAAATGCTTGAGTACCTTAAAGAAAAAACGGTATTATATGTGGTATTGGAGTTATCGCCCTTAAATTTAGAAAACTGCAAAATATTTTTTTGTAATTATCCTAAGAAAATGCGTCAAGTATCTTTTATCTAAATACAATTATTTTTAAAATATATTATTATTACACGAAATTTGTGAAATGGTGTAGAAAACAATGTATAAAATAAATAATTTATAACTGAAATGTTAACAAAGTACGTTTTGGAAACAAACGTAAAATTTAATTTGAAATAATTCGCCAAAGATAAATTTAGACGACAGACACTTTACCAATGCATTAATTCGTTACTGAAGCTCTACTGGTTACGAATTATTTAAAATTTTGAATCCTCTATCAATGAGGACAAATTTGTTTAAAAATAGTTAACAGTGAGGATTTCCCAAATATGTAGCGCAATAAGAACATCAAACATGATCTCATAATTTCTTGATCTCCAGTTCAGAAAGAAACTAGTATGTATTAAATTGAATCACACTTTTTATGCCTGTTTGCGTAGGATTCTCAATAGTTATGGAAAAGAGACAGAAAAAAAGAAAACTGGATGTTCTGACAACATCAGTTAAAGATGCAGAGGTAGTTCCTGAAAGGAATATGGTAATCAAGAACTGTCAAGGAAAAAATCCTTAAAAATGTTGCGAAAAATATTGAAATACGGTACATGTAATGCAAAATAAAAGTGATACATGAGTATACGATGATAGGTTTGTTGTTTAACCGTATTTGACTAATTTGGCTTAAATCGAAGAAATCAATTCTATGAAATGAACAGAACTACATATACATGTAAACAGAATATTAAAATAATTTAAAAGAAAAAAAAACCCCCTATAATATGAATGCTGATGAACGCGAAAAAAATATAAGTATAATTACGAGCAACATAGGCAAGGGAATGGGGGAAAAGGTTGCATTCTCTGCCTATATGTGTTTATTCTTTGCTTAAACTCCATCTTTAGCTATACGTCTTTTTGCACACTGCCCTCTACGTAAATAATTGAGACAGTTAATCAATGATTAAGAAACCATTCTTTCTTGATAGTAAATTTATCTCTACTGATTATTTTTGTTAAAATCAATTTTTATATAAAAGTTTCTTAGTAAGTTTAAAAAAAGAAAAAAAAAACAAACAAACAAAAAAAAAAAACAAAACAAAAAAAAAACAACAACATTTTATTCATTATAACATGAATGCATGCAAGCACGAATGTATCTAATCCATAGGTACGTAATGAATTACATGTAAAATAGAATGATTAAGGAGCTTATTTCTGACGGAGGAGTAGAATTTAAAAAGAAAAAAAAAATTATCTGGAACTGCCTAAAGGGGTCAACAAAAACTTAGGAATCTGTTTTCCGAAATTCTATTTCGTTTCAATTTACAAAAAGGACAAAATTCGACTATAGGATTTTACGAGTATTTTATATTGCTGTAAATAGAAAATTTATATGTGTAAGGGGTACATGTACAAGACGAAGATGGTCTCGATACGGGACTGGGACAAAGTGCGAAGCACCGAGTCTCAGTCCGGTATCTGACATTATAGAGACCATCTGAGTTTTGTATCTTACTTAAAACATACATTTGTATTGGTTATTGTCTTGATACGATACTGGTGACGGTGACCAAACCAGACGGATGGGGCGCTTAGGGGTTTAAGACATTTCTTTCAAAGGGATGAATATTTTTGAATTAAAGACCCTTACTGAACCCCAATCATATATTATTTATCGTTGTGGCACTCTATGGATGCGTTAAAAAGAGCTGAGCAACTTAATGACAGTAATTAAGCAATTCTGAGAGTATTGTGAAGGATCCTTTTTTTTAACGGATGAAGATTGTAAGTGACCAGTAGGCAAATATTCCAGGAAAGCGCCGTTTTTGTCCGTTGGATATCGAAGGTACCACATCTTTACGTAAATTAATTTGGAAATATATATTGAAATTAAATTTTCCGGGAAAAAATTCGGAATGAATGAATGTGTGTTGTTTTACGTCAGAGTTGTATGAGATATATTTACAGATCGAGTGTAAACTTTCCGCATTTTGCTTTTTCTTCCCCTGAATACTAACGTTCTTCAATGGACCACTTTACGTGGATTTATTTGGATGTGTTTTCGGAAAAATCATAAATTTTAAGTGTTAACTCGAAAACCCCAAAGTAATCGTTCCACACAAAAATAATAAGAGAGATATAATGTATAGTGAAGCATTTTTTATGTGGAACGATTATTTTGGAGTTTTCACGATTTAATTCCTATGGTACACATGATGAATAAGTGCAATAAATATTATTTGTGAAAAATTGTCCAACAAGCCCCGAGGTTGAATATCGGGGGGGGGGGGGGGGGCTGTCCACAAGTACCTGTGTAAATTTTAAGGGATTTCTGGATATTTCTACTTTGCATGAATTGGATTACGAATGTTGATTTCCATATACTAGTAGCTTGCACTGGATTCTATTATTATCTATTGTTATGTCCTTTGGGTACATTTCAAACGTTGATAGTTGCCTTTTCCTCCAAATGTTCCAGGGTTTGGTGCATGACTTTGGGGTACCAGTCCCTTCTTTGTAATTACTGGGATATAGGTTACTGTATCTGACAAACTTCAACTCATTTGTATACCGTGTCAAAACATTTGTCTTTTGGAAGTTGTCTATCCCGTCTACGCAACTTTTCTTCTTTCGTTTGTAACTTCTCTTCTTCCTTTTCCGGTAGCACTTTGGACATGTGCAGCACTTAGTCCTACAGTGTGAATTTGATCGTCTCGCTCTTGTGAGTGGGCTAGCATTATATTATGACGCTTTTTTAAGATTTTATTGGTGATTTATTTCTATGCGCAAAAGTACATTCACAGTTGAAGCAGTTTTCTTTGAAGCTGTGATTCCTTCATCTTTGAAAAAGGAATCTCTGGAAAGTTCAAACGCTTTTCGTTGAAAGTCTTTGTCCTCTGTCTGTGGCGTTGATTTTTTCTGTCGGATTTTTTTTTATTTCTGCCTGTGTTGAACTGATCGCATTTCCCAAAACTGTAATGCCAAGGCCAAAATAAAAAATAGGTTTGTTTCCCCTAACACGACCGACCCACTTAAATCGTGCCGACTGAAAAGTTTTTTTAATAAGATTATTCAAATATTTATTTTTATTGTTTATCAACTTTATAAAATACAATTTCATCAAAATTCGTTTTTATCAGAATGGCGACATTTGTTTTATTCCCATTTGGCGCCCACAACATGTGGCCACAGAGGGTTATTTAGTGTTATGAAACAACGGCGATGTATCAATCTTAATATACATCTTTAACTTATTAGAATCCCAAACTCTTGAAACATTTCGTGAATAAAATAGACCATGACTAAGGAGTGTTAAGATGGTATTTACAAATGTGTCTTCTTTAATTAACGTACGTAGCAAGCATGACAAAGCCTGTCTCATGAGCAGATGAGGGGCCCACTTTGTGTATGCATATCAATAAATTTCACTGCATTTCATTCGTTTTGATCTAAAATAAACACTATGTATGATTCTATTTTTCACTATATAGGATCATAGGAATTGTAAATATGTCTTTGTATAATTATTTCATCTTGATAAATATAATTCGGATGTCGTTTCTTCATTCCTTTTATTTATGGGCTAAACTTCGTGACTATAACATCAGATGTATGAAACCTTAATCATTTTAGATATGGTTTGGTTGAATTAAATATTGTTTATACAGCTACTCTCTTTTCAAATAGTGTTGAAATCTTTCAAGTTGGCTTATGGTACGGCTTCCTGAGACGTTCAGTGTATTTTTCTTTTCTTTAGTTGGGCCCTTGAAAATAGGTTGTTTCTTTGCTTTAAAATACTTTTAAAAATTACTGGGTCGACAACATTTGAACACCTGCCTGGTGGAGGGCTCCTAATTTAGACTTTTTCTTGGCACTTATGGCCATTGATCATAAAGCATCAGTAAGGGATCTTTATCGTACCAACAACTACATGTATACTGTGACACTGCATGGTCCTACGTTTTTTACGGTCTCATTTGACTGACCAGTTTCCACGCCCCACATCGGGACCTGTGACTTAAAATAAGCTCCTGAATTACGTCGTGACTCCAAAACAAAACACTAGAATTACTGCGCCATGCGAGGCTCTCGACATTTTATCTGTGTAAGCACTCGAAGATGATAGTAGGTTTTAAAAAAAATATATACTCGGATGGCCGATGGTTGAGTATTTGCGAATGTTGTCTTTTTGAAAAAAATCAATTTCAATAAATTTAAAATAAAGTTCAAATGAATAATATTTGTGAATTAATTTACCATACATGTTAAATTTCATCTGTATGATATTCGGTTTAAAAATCGGTTTCTTTTGTTCTTTGTTATTTATACAGATATTATTCAATTTTCACAATGTATTTTCAAAACTGCTGTTAGAAAAAAAATAATAATTTACCTATCTACCTACTCAACTTGAAATTTTAGGGTCGGGTTAGGGGAAACAAAGATATTTTTAATGATGGCCCAAAAACGTCATTTCTGTGGTCAAATTTCTGTGCCCTACATATCCATACGAAATGTCTAATCCTGCTGCAATTAAAGCAGTCCAACAAAATCCTCTGTGTGTAAGTCTGCATCTTCTTCTTTTCGATTTACCATAGGTATAAAGTACTTTCCAGGGTATAGCGTATCACACACTGTTCAGAACTTGTAAAAATACAATCCAGTATGGGGGAAATTAGCTTTAAGGTACATGACTTGTTTCGTTTATTGTAAACCACTCATTAATTACCTCGATACATTTTAAGATTTTAGATGGGATACAAATCTCCGGTTGGGGTTATAAACGAAGGATAAAATCAGAGACCTTGGAATGGATTACTCGGAAGTCTCTGGTTTTATCCTACCCCCAACCGGAAGTTGTATCCCATCTAAAGTCTTAATATGTATCGAGGTAATTTTCGAGGAATAAATGAGTGGTTTACAATAAAGAGGCTCGACCAGAGACGTCTGAAAGGATTTATTTGACAAGAAAAAAGTCTCTCGAAGCGAACGATATAATTTTACAGTAGGTTAATGATTGATAT